CTCCAGACTTATAGAAGGACTGCCCACAACCAAGTGGTTAAAAAAGACTTGCAAAATTGGCTGAGTTCAAAAAATATTATGTACCATCCCGGATCTATAAGAAAGGAACTTTATTCGTTGTGTGCCCTTCATAAAGAAAAATTAAAAAATACGAAATTGATGAAATTGCCAAAAATCGTGGAATGACAGTACTTAGATCCCCACCATATCATTGTAAATTAAATCCGATTGAACTGGTATGGGCACAGATAAAGAGTGAAGTTTCAAGAAAAAATACCACTTTTAAAATTCATGATGTTAAACAATTGTTTTTGTAGGCCGTAAATAATGTAAAACCTGAAAACTGGGAAAAGGCAGTAAATCACACTATTAAAGAAGAGGAAAAAATGTGGAAACTGGACAATATTACTGATAAAATGATCGAGCCAGTTATTATAAATCTTGGTTCTGAAAGTTCATTTTCTGAATCTGATTTGGATTTGTAACAAGTAGCTCTAAGTTTTATATTAATATTTTTATTCATCTATTTAACATACCTAGACGGTTTTTAAAAACTCTTTTTCTCTTTTGTAATTTTTAAAAATTAAAAAAAATGTGAATTTTTTAAAACCCTTTTTAATGTAGGCCAGTCAGTTCTAATATAGTGTGTGATAAAAGAGGTCACTTTTGTTTACATACACATAACACTTTATAACACTGAAATAATTCATTTATTTTTTTACAATTATTCAAAGTAATTTTTCAATTAATCTTGAGCACGCCCATGGAGTGGTCGAAGGTACCAGTTAAAATTATGCTAATTACTCTCTCGTTCATAAAAATAAACTATAACAATATTATTGCCCCCACTACCTTTACATTCCCTCTTTTGTCTTTTTGCTCGATGATAATATTATACATGTTTTTGTCTTTGGTTTTATAAGATCTCCTTGCTTCCATGAGATCCATATTTTCATTTTCAATCTTTAAAGAAACAAAATACATTACAATAATAAATACAGTTAAATTTGTTTTTCGTAAAATATATTTTCATTAGATATTTATGAGTAAATCAAATTTATTTGATATACATCATAAACCATATTATTAATGTGCATATTTTTCTGATAGTTATGTTAAAGCTCAATATTATTCAAATATAGTTGAGTATATAAACATAAAAACTTTATGGATACTCAACTTACCCAAATTTTCAGATTCTACCCTACCCGTATTAATTTCCAATAAAAATATCGTAAAACCTTTTACTGCGTTTTTTATATCACGTTAGTACTCTTTTCAAGGAATAACCCTTTTAAGAGTGTTGTGATAATATTTATAAAAAAAAAAGATTGAATTAAATGTATGTTTGTTTTGATTATATGTAAATGAGATAATTTAATAATGATAGTAATCTTTGTTTTATCAGCAATTTAAAATGCAAAACCAGCTGTAACTGGTAATCTGTAATTTTTAAGTACTTAAAAAAATTGTAATATTTATCATCACGTTTTTATTCGATAAGGAAAAATATGTAGTGGTACTCGAACTCGAACGATTAAAGTATTTTTTTAATTGCACAATGATTTCCAATATGTAATTAAGATTTAAGGACAAAACAAATTACATATACAAGTCCTCAGAGATTTGACAATTTTGGAACCTCAAACAAGTAGCGCAAAAAAAGTTTACCACTTCTAAAATATTTAAGTTAATAAGCTTATATTATACAGTGAGTTTAACGGAAGTGGCAACCCTGTTTCTAGGGATAGTATACAGTCAACCTGGTGAAGGGCAACAGCGATCACCAGTACTAGAATCAGGCGTAAAGGAAATGATCCTAAACCGGCTTCTTACTAGAATACCGTAGGTGAGACTGAAAACAGTTAGATGGCTACGGTACTGCGATGCGGAAAGCAAGTAGGAAACTACCGCATTATATTCCTCAAAACATCCGTCCGTAGATTTTTTCTTGTCATGTTGGAAGAACCAAAACAAACGGCCCCTCGTACGGTCAGGCCTTAAATGGCCAAGGGGTGCGAAGAATCTCCCGGTTTCAACTTGATAAGATAACCAAAATTGGTATGTGGAATGTCAGAAGCTTATTTGCAGCAGGCAAACTACAAAATCTAATTCAGGAAATGAACAGAATTAACATCGATATTCTCGGCATAAGCGAGTTACGATGTGAAGGCACAGGTGTGATCAATACTACTGGTAAAACCGTTTACTACTCATGCAGTGATAGCACAGAACCTCACTACAGACATGGGGTGGGAGTTCTCATAAGCGAAGATTTGCGCGTCTCCGTGAAGAACTTTGTTCCGATCTCCGAAAGAGTCGTACTTATTCAGTTGCATAGAAAAGTTAACATAAATATTATACAAGTCTACGCCCCTACAGCAGACAAGCCAAAAGAAGAACTAGAGTGATTTTATCAACAGCTAGACGAAGTCTTAAAGGCGACTAAGAATCACGAAATTAACATCGTATTTTTTTTTTTGAACCTATTCTTTATCCTTCCATTGTTGGATATAGGTCTCCCCCAGTTCTCTCCATCTTTCCCTATCTTGAGCTGTTCTCTGCCATGTGGGACCTCCTTGTTTCCTGATGTCATCTTTCCACCTCATCTGTGGTCTGCCTCTTGATCTCTTTGTATTGTATGGACGCCATTTTCCGATGGCATTGTTCCATCGTCCGTCTTGGAGACGTTCATTGTGTCCAGCGCATTTTCATTTCAGTTTTGCTGCTTGTTCTATCGCGTCTACTGTCTTTGTTCTGGTTCTGATCCACTGGTTACGTTTTCTATCGCTAAGTGATACACCCAACATTTGTCTCTCCATCGCTCTTTGTGCCTTCCTTATCCTATCCAAATTGGCCTGTGTAAATGTCCATGTCTGTGCTCCGTAGGTGAGCACCGGTATTATGCAGGAGTTATATACCTTCCTTCGTAAGTATAGAGGGATTGTTTGATTTTTTAGAACGTAAGAAAGTTTGCCGAACTCTGCCCATCCCATTCTTACTTGTTTCGATATTTCGGCTGTTTGATTTTCTCTGTTAGCTCTGATTGCTTGTCCTAGATAGATATACTCATTTACCTGTTCTATTTTTTCTGTTTTTATTTTTATTGCCTCTTGGTCTTCCGTGTTTGTCATTACTTTTGTTTTGTTGAAGTTAATTTTTAGGCCTTTTTGCAGTGTTTTTTCATGAAGTTCATTTAGCATTAATTCCAGTTCTTGTCGTTCCGAGGAGATCAGGAGTACCTATATCATCCGCATATCTAAGGTGATTTAGGTATTTTCCGTTAATACATATTCCTTTGTTTTCCCAATCTGTTGATTTTATTATGTCTTCGAGGGTCAAGGTAAACAGTTTAGGTGAAATTATATCGCCTTGCCGGACTCCTCGTTTAACTTTTATATTATCCGTTATTATTTATCGTCCAGAATTACGGTCATGGTTGCATTTTGGTAAATATCATGTATCAATTGTCGGTATCTTGAATCTATTCTACTATTGACTAGAGCTTCTTCAACCGCCCAGTGTTCAATGCTGTCGAAAGCCTTTTCATAATCTACGAATGCTAAGTATAGCGGAAGGTTGTATTCATTGGTTTTCTTAATTAATATTTTAAGCGCATGTAGATGGTCGATTGTGCTGAATCCGGCCTGTTCTACTGGTTGGTAGTTATCAAGTTTATAGGTTAGTCGGTTGTTTATTATTCTTGTGAAGGTTTTATATAGTTGTGACAAAAGGGAAATGGGACGGTAGTTGTTTAGGTCTGTTCGGTCTCCTTTCTTATGTATTAAGATTGTGTTGGCATTTTCTCCATTGTTTTGGGAGTTTCACCTTCAAACAGACATTTGTTGAACAGTATTTTTAGCATTTTTTTTTATCGTGTCTCCTCCTTCTTTTAGTCTTTTAGCAGTTCCGCCAGTATTTTGTCCTCACCGGCCGCTTTATTTCTTTTCATGTCGTTTATCGATTTTTCTATTTTATCTTCAGTTATTTCTGGTAATACCTCTGAGCCAGCATTTTGTATTTTCCTCTAGAGATTCTGTTTAGATGATAGTGGTGGTCATTTTTAGAACTGTATAAGTCTGTGTAATATCTTTCTGTGATTTTTACTATTTCTCCTAGATCTCTTTCTTCATTGTTCTTAGCTTTAAGCATGATTAGTTTTCTTTTTCCTGTATTTGCCTTCATTGTTTTTAAACTTTTTGTTCTTCTCTATGATTTTCTTAATGCGGTTCTTCTTGGTATTTCTTTAAATCTTCCTTTATCTGTTTTCTTATGGGTTTTGTTCAGTTCGGTAAACTCCACTGTATTTCTTTTGTTATCATTCAGTAGTTGTCGTCGTTTTTTTTAGCATATCTTGTGATTTAGCGCTAATTTTTTGTTGTTTTTGCTTTTGTTTATTATCAATCTTCAGGCCTGCTTCTAGTAGTTCTGTTATTTTATCGTTTTATTTCGTCTGGTTGCAAACCCTTTAGCTGTGATATGTTACTTCTTTTTAGCTGGTTTATGTATTGTTCTTTGCGTTCTTTAAAAAGTTCTGTATCTATCTCTTTTTTAGATGGTTTAAATTTTTGTCTGTCTGTTGTGGAGTTAATTTTGATTTTGGCTCTAACAATTCTGTGAATATGTTTATCATTTACTAAATAGTAATACCTTAGAATCTCCCTTCAGTTTTCCTGATTTAAAATTTAGCTTTTTAAAGAAGAAAAACTACTTATCTGTTTCTACAAACATGTTTCCAAAATCAAAGAAGAAAGCAAGGAATTTTAGACTACCTCAAATCCATCCTAAAAGATAATAATTTAAATGGATTAAATTATTTAAGAGATATAAAATTGTATTATACTATTTATTGTACATAATCGTATTAAAACTATTGTTTGTCATCTCACTAATAACCCTGCGTGGTTGATGTGGAATAAGTGTTTTAAATAAAAAGAACTTTTTGGAGCAGTATACATATATTTACTTATTTTCCAATATTATCAAGAATTTTTTTTCAGGTTTTATCCATATCAAATGGTAATTAAAATAACAAAAACATTTCTTGGAAATGGAAGACAAACAAATGAAGCTAAGGAACAGCATTCAAATCCAAAATGACATTCAAACTCAAGAGAAATTGAAAGATCATTTAAAAGAATATTGCCGATATACTTCCATTCATGGATTAAAATACCTTGGGGAAACGAAAACTGTTGCCGAAAGGTTTGTTGATATTTACTTTTAATTTCAATATAAACAGAAAAATCAAATATAAAGGATATAATCTTAAGTATCGCATATATCTTTAGGTAGAGTATAAAATAAAAGGGCAGAATATACAGAGTGAACAAAAAATCTGGAGATACCTTGTTGTATAACAAGTTATAATAATATTAGTTGATTTTTTTGTTTTCATAAATTATTAGTTTGAATCTTATGTGACACACTGTACTTGTTTTCTACAAAATTATTCGTCATGAACTTTCGTTAATTTTTATTTATTTAATATCAACTCGGCTATCATTATGTTGCTGTAAGTCTCCTAAACGGTAGGCAGCCCACATGACATTTAGGCGTCTTGAAACTCAAATAGAAGGATTTACACAATATTCATCTCAAAATATCTGCTGTGTAAAAATTATTTTCTGATTGCTACAACAAATCATTCACGTTTGATGTCACTTGTATATTATGTCTGTTTTGTCTGCTATTTCGTCTAACATGTGTGTATTAAAAGATTCGTTGCCAAATATCTATAAAAATATAGACAGTGTTGTACTTACTTTGTACTGTAACATCAAACATAAATACGAATAAAAAAATATTAGCAACATTATTAGTATTTAAAAAAAATCATTTTTTTTTCTGGGGTATTTTATGTTTGGTAACGTATTAAGGATTACTAGTTGATAACTCTATTTTCTTAAAAGAAATTTAGTTAGTTTTTTTACCAGGAATAACTCACAAAAAGTTGCTACTAGAAAAAATTATTAACTTCCTTCAGAACTAACCAGGTGCACAATATTTGCTTACAAAAATAGTTTTTTTAAAATATTTTAACAACTCTTGTTTTTGGTATAATATCACTGATTCTAGATAAAGTATATTAGGTATGTGGGTAGTAGTAGAAGGTAATGGATTTTCTAAAGAGCTATGTAGCCCAGGCTGTGGGGAAAAAAGTATTCTCTAATTCAGGAATTCGGAAGTGTTTTCAGGAAGTGTTACTATGGCTTAAGAAGACAGATGGCCTCAAAAATGCCTAGAAAAATTAAACTGACTGTATACAAAACACTAATAAGACCAGTGCTAACATATGGTTCAGAAACGTGGACACTAACACAGAATGACCAAGAATTGCTCGTTTTGAGCGAAAAATACTAAGACGAATATATGGAGGCATAAAAGAACAAGGTTTGTGGCGCAGGTGTTACAATTTTGAGTTGTATAGAAGTTTTGGAGAACCTTACGTTGTAAAATTCATTAAGGTAGCACGCCTTAGATAGATAGGTCATGTATTCAGACGAGAGGAAGATGCCATAGTCAGAAAAGTTTTTGACCGAAGAGGGCGATCGGACAACGAAGAAGAGGAAGACCGAGACTTAGGTACCAAGACAACATAGAACATGATTTGAAGTCTATCGAAATTAGAGTTGCCAGAGACAGGGGCGAATGGAGGATTTTTCTGAAGAAGGCTTTGGCTCATAAAGAGCTTAAACGCCACTGATGATGATAATGATGATAATTCAGGAATTTATGTAATGTGGCATAAGTTATAAAGGACAACCTCAGGAGCAATCTTAACAAAAAATTTTTGGTTATTGTTTATTTATGAGCATTTTTAAGTTCAAAATACGTATTTTTTGAGGTTTTTTTCATTTTTTGCCTAAAGTAAGTATTTTAATGGGTAATTTCTGTATAGATTATGAAAGTACTCTAAAGGGCCTTCAATTTGAGCCGGTATACGTTCAATTTAATTTATTTGTTATTACAAAAATGACGAATGAAGGTCAAAATTAAAAAACGTAATATTTATTGCAAAATTGCTTTTTATTTATTTCAAATGTATTAAGCTATTTTATGCTTTAATTATTTAATGTATTTTATTTATTTCAAATGTATATTCAAATGTATTCAAGCCTATAAAATTACGAATCGAATAAGTCGTAGTAGGCCTAGATCACTTACTTTGTTGCTGAGATACGTTAACTAGTTTATCCTACGACTTTCAACTTTGAATGTTCATAGGATTGCCAAGATATACTGAATATACGGAATACAACTGAAGTCCATGAGTTACCAGCTGAAGTCCGTTTGAAGAGTTTACTCTCCGCACGCTGAAACTCACTTAAGACATGGGTGTATGTTACCTCAAGTTAAATTTAATTTAATATTAAACATCAAACATTAATAACAACATTATGTACAATCTTTTGTAACTGTATGTATTTTAAAGGGTTTTTACCCTGATATTTTGGTGGCTCAGACATGTTAACTTGCATTTTTAAACCTGATGATGGAATTATTATTCCGAAAATGTTCGTGTAATTTAATGTAGCCCTTTTAAGGGTTTTTTAAATATACCCATTTACCAAGATATAACATCTTTTTTGTGATACGTGGTATACAGCCAGCTGCAGGAAATATTTTCCTTGTGGATTTTAACCCTTAGTTGCCGGATTATAAAAATAATACAAAATTTTTAAATTTTTTGATCAAATATGTTCAAAAATATATTCAAAAAGAAGTATAACTTTTTCAAAATTTTTCAAAACCTTTTACGCAAAAAACAGACGCGCTACTTTAAAGTACCGTCAGGCTGTGTAGAGTAATTTAGTGTGGTAGTAAGTTATCAGGTGACTAATGATAAATACGGAGATTTTTATCAATTTATTTGTAAAAAATACATCAATATTCAACATCGTGATATCTATTGAAATAGTTTTTCTTCTCATTCGAACACAGATAAACTTTGCAGGTAGAACATGGTGAATGAGGTCGCGATTGAACACCTTGGCTGCTGCATACCTCACATCTACCTCTTTGGGAACCATATTTTACCCAGTGGGCCAGTGTGAGTCTCTATTTGAAAGCCGTACATCGGATAGGACTGAATAATATGTTCCTCTTCTTTTTCTTTCAGGGTATACATCAATTTTTAGTCTTCGTCGTTTTGATTGAGTTTTCTGAAGTTTGTGAGCTATTAGACCCATCGCAACTCCTCTTCGAAAGTTTAAAAGAGATTGGTTTTCTCGTATGTCGCAGAATATTATATAAGCATTAACGAATTCTATATCTGTTAATCCAAAAAAATAGCCTATGCAATCACTTCTTACTATGTCTGTCAAGTCCATAAGCAGTTCTCAAATGATCAGCATGGTCAATATGCCTCATGAATTTATTGTAATCTTTTACAATCATGGGAGTAACAATATCAGCCTTAGCACCATCTTTTTGAGTCCTTTGAACCGTTATTTCCTCACAACCATGGTAATTACTAGCAAAGTAAACAATTTTATTGTCCTTCATTTCCACACTTCAATATCCATCGACGAAATCATGTAATCAAAATCTCTGCGCTTCATGGATTTATCAGCTATCAAGTTCTTAGGAAGAAACTTTTTATTCGGTCTAATTGTTTCCGCATGCTAAAGTTAGTTCACTTTTTTAACTTCTCTAACAAGGATATGGAGGTAAAATAGTTGTCAAAATAAATAATTCTTTGCTTTCACCAATCTTCTTCAGTAAGACCCAGAACTACACGGGCTCCTAGTCCAAAGTCCTTATACTTTTCTTCAACTATGCTGTGATTTCGCTGGTAGCGAAATCACAGCATAGTTGAGATAGATGCTTGGCTCTCTTGATACGTGTGAGAAAATTGTACTGCTTTAGAGTCCCTTGAAAAGTATCGATTCGTCAACCCAAAGCTCACGAGTTCCTCTATAATTTCTTAAAAAATTTTCGTTCAGTTTGTCTATCATTGGCATTATTTTGTATAGTTTATCTTGAGTTTGTGTATTAATATTAGTATTGTCATTTATATGATGATTGCTCAATATAGCATCAAACCAGTCTCTGCTCATTGCAGCTGGAACGATTGCAGTTTTTTGGTCTTCGCTGTTAGACCAATAATGCCTCCAATGTGGTAACTTGTAATACCCCATTAATATGTTTATTCCTAAAAATGTTATCAGTTCATCTTTTTTATATTCAGAACCTTATTCCTTTGGACAGCATATAAGTTGCTCTGATAAACTATATCATCAATTATGGAACTTAAAAGGCAAATAAAGATCTCAGTTCCAGTTTCGCAACCAGCAAAAGTATCCCCTACTGTACGTGTTGGGTACATAAATTCTGGAGATGCAGTAGTTATTTTCCTTTTGCGCCACTTTCTATCTAAAATTGTCTCATTCTGCAGACTCAAGTCAATTTCATGCATTGAATTTACCTCGACATCTTCTGTTATACCATTTTCTATGGACTGAGTCACATCTACTTCTAATGTACTTGAAGGTTCTGGTACAGCATTGTTATAATTAATTATTAATGCCTCATCACCATTATCTGATTCTTCGTCAGTTTGGAAATTTAGGTCATCCAGTATATCCTCAAACAAGAAATTGTCAACAATATTTAATAATTCCGCACCACTTAAAGGTTTTTGCTAGTTTAGTCTAGTCTATTTGTTTTCCATCTAAAAAAAGAAACGGTTTAGAATATAATAGAAACGATAGTCGCGAAATAAATTTATGTCCAGTAATAAATTACTTCCAAATGCCTGACGGTACTTTTAAGTCCGCAGCGAAAAGTATCAGTTTTCTCAAACACCAGTAATTATTTATCAAAAGTAAATATTTATGTTTGGACTCAAATGTTTTCTTCTACGATATTATAATCAGTTATACCGAAATATGTTGATAATTTTTAATTTATTGGCACATGTGTTACAGATGACAAATCACAACACAATAGCTAGGTTATGCACTAATATAGTTATTGTTTTAGCTCTAAAACAGTGTTGACGGTTGATTGAAATTAACTTATGTTATTCTCTATAAGGTACTTTAAAGTACCTAGACATATTTTTAAATAAGTGGTACTTTAAAGTACCGTCCATCAACTAAGGGTTAAAAGTAAAAGAATTGAAAAAAAATTGAATAAAAATTTTTTTTAGGGGGTGGGGGTGGTTTTTAAGGGTGAAAGTATTCCAGATGTTATTATTTCGACGGGCTACCCGATATTAAAAAAAATCATCGAAATTAGTTCATTTTTCACCGAGGGTATTGCAAATTTTTCCGCTTCAGTTTTTTTCTCGTTGCACAAAGTCATCCCCACCACTACTTCTGTGTCATGGCTTGAAAAAAGGTAAACTTTATTCGTCATTTTTAACAATAAATAATAATTTTAATTTAAGGAGAATACAAATACTTTAAAATATAGGTTTTTAAGTTGTGAATGACGCCAGATTCGTTTCTTAATTGTTATTAATAAAGCCACTGTGATTTTTTAAAAAGGTATGCTAACTCGGCTCCTATTGGTCGTAAAAAACTCTTTTTTTATCTTCGTCTCGAAGCCAGCTACAATAATCTGCAAATTAGAAATTTGTAGGGTACATAGGGGGCGCTGCAGCTCTAAATGTCGATAACTGAAATTTTAGAACTTCATAAATAATTGTTTTTTAACGGGTTAAAATTTTTTTTCATTATTTTTTAGTGAATTATGAAATGAGAAAAGGCAGCAAATATTTAATTTCACGCAAACAAATCCCATGTATCTCTTGATACGTATTTCGACCTAATAGGTCTCGTCAGAAGAGCTATTCATAGGGTTCTCAACGTGAAAAATCAATATTTTCTGCCTTTTAAGAAGCAACAATAACATGGCTTCAATACGGACGCAGTAGCGACATCTAATTAAACAATCGTAAAATAGTTTCGAAACATAATTCAGATTTCTGCTTTATAATCTGAGCCTTCTAAGAATTGCAAGGCAAACAGACGTTGATAAAAGATGTTAAAAGAGACATGGGGAATCTAAAATTTGCATTCCACGACATGTCTTTTACAACTAAGCAGAAATCCTTAGCGAATTGTGTTTCTAGTACTCCCACAGAGTAAATCCGAATAAAATGAGAAAAGGCAGCAAATATTTGATTTCACACAAACAAATCCTATGTATCTCTTGATACGTATTTCGACCTAATAGGTCTCGTCAGAAGAGCTATTCATAGGGATTCTCAACGTGAAAAATCAATATTTTCTGCCTTTTAAGAAGCAACAATAACATGGCTTCAATACGGACGCAGTAGCGACATCTAATTAAACAATCGTAAAATAGTTTCGAAACATAATTCAGATTTCTGCTTTATAATCTGAGCCTTCTAAGAATTGCAAGGCAAACAGACGTTGATAAAAGATGTTAAAAGAGACATGGGGAATCTAAAATTTGCATTCCACGACATGTCTTTTACAACTAAGCAGAAATCCTTAGCGAATTGTGTTTCTAGTACTCCCACAGAGTAAATCCGAATAAAATGAGAAAAGGCAGCAAATATTTGATTTCACGCAAACAAATCCTATGTATCTCTTGATACGTATTTCGACCTAATAGGTCTCGTCAGAAGAGCTATTCATAGGGGTTCTTAACGTGAAAAACTCAAAACTCAAAAATTACGTTTTTTTGCACCTATAAACGCTGATAAATAAACAATAACCAAAAATTTTCTATTGAATGAACTGGGGGATTGCACCTAAGGTTGCCCTCTATAATTTAGGCCACATTACATAAATTCCTGGATTAGAGAGTACTTTTTCCCCCTCAGCCCGCGCTATGGGTCGATATAACTCATAGCTCTTTAGAAAATCCAGTACCTCACTTGTAGAACTTATTTTCCGGTGATCCGTAAGGCATTGATTATGTGACATATTATATTAGTAAAAGTATTAATACGATTATCTTATTTTTAGAGTTTGGTGGGTAATATCGATATGCCTGAGTATTTGCTTTTGCAGTTATATGATCTACCAAATAATATATAAATATATTCATTATCCAGTCATAGTAACCTTTTCCATGAAAGAAACACGGTTGCAGAAAATACCCTTCCCAGCTGTCACCATATGTCCGAGAGCCAAAATCTCACAGGATTACCTAAATTTGACAGATATTTTCGAAAGAAAATATAACGGGTTACCCATAACAGAGAACGAGTAAGTAGTTTTTTTTAAACCAAACAAAAGTGATGATTTTTTAAAATTTGGAGTACCACACATTATTAAAATGCAATTAGTTAATTTGTGAATTGTTTATTTCACCGAGTGATTTGTTTAAAACAGTTTAAACTAATTATTTATTATTGTTCTGAAGCTATTTTCTTGTGGCATTGTAAATTAATTACTATTTATAACTGGGAATAAGCCACAATTAAAGATAAAAATACGTTTATTGACGTTTCACTTTCCAATTCGGAAATCGTTCTCAAAATACAAACAGTAAATTAAACAAATTTTGTTTTTTGTTACATAGTGAAAAAAATTCTTCTAATAATTTAATTTTATACTGACTCATTTATATTGACAATTCAGACATACATTATGCATTTTAAAGTAGACGACTTTAAAATGATATTGCCAATATTGTTGAGTTGCGCTCCTGGGACGACTTTACATAGCATGTAATTCGTCTTTAACAAGACAAACACATGACATGATGACAGTAAAATTCTCCTGTTAGTGATTCCATAGTAAATTATGAGGGAAAAACCAGGAAAAAAACCTCATAATACTATCCCGACATTGTAAGTATTTGTTCGTGAATTTAGTTTACTTTCAACAAACATCAAAATTCTGATTTTATATGTTACGTTATTTAAAAAACATAAATGATGTATCCTCTATATGTTACTGACTTACTAATACTGGTATTTTCTTATTAATAACTTCCTCTTTCAATATTGGTAACCAGATCCTACTACATTCTGCCGAGGAATTTGCGACACAATTGGCCTCGTTTAGCATAATTAGAGCCGCTTCTTTGATTTTTCTTTTCAAACCCACAGTATGGTGGAGGTATGTAGATGATGTATTCTCAATATGGCCTCATGGATCAGAGTTGTTGGACACATTCCTAAACGATATAAACGATAAAGAAGAGACAATAACATTTACCATGGAAAAGGAATATAATAACACGCTACCTTTCTTGGATGTTTTAATCTCTAAGAACGATACTGGATATGAGACTCAGGTGTATAGAAAACGAACAAACACCAATAGATATTTAAATTTCAAATCAAATCACAATATTAATGTAAAAAAGGGAATAATTAAATCCTTATACGATAGAGCCAAAATTACTTGTTCTAATGAAAATTCGTTCTTGGAGGAGAAACATTTGTTAACATTAATAGAATAGAACAACTTAGAACGAGATCCTACAGCATACACAAGGAATAATATGAGGAAAATAACAATACCGTACATAAAAGGATTATCAGATAAACTTAAAAGGATAGGAAATAAATTCAACATTTCAACAACATTCAAAACAACAAACACGTTGAGATCTATTTTGTCCAAAATCAAACCTAACAATGAACAAGAAAGGACAAAGAATTGCATTTATAAAATACCTTGTGAATGCGATCAGTTTTATTTAGGTGAATCATCAAGGCCATTAAATGTTAGAATAAGTGAACATCAATCTTATATTAAAAATAAAGAATTTGATAGATCTCAAATATGTAAACACGCATGGGATAATGAACATAGGGTTCAATGGAATAATTCAAATATGGTCCTAAAAGAAACGGATGGTAAAAAAAGAAAAATCAAAGAAGCGGCTCTAATTATGCTAAACGAGGCCAATTGTGTCGCAAATTCCCTCGGCAGAATGTAGTAGGATCTGGTTACCAATATTGAAAGAGGAAGTTATTAATAAGAAAATACCAGTATTAGTAAGTCAGTAACATATAGAGGATACAACATTTATGATTTTTAAATAACGTAACATATAAAATCAGAATTTTGATGTTTGTTGAAGGTAAACTAAATTCACGAACAAATACTTACAATGTCGGGATAGTATTATGAGGTTTTTTTTCCTGGTTTTTTCCCTCATAATTTACTATGGAATCACTAAAAGGAGAATTTTACTGTCATCATGTCATGTGTTTGTCTTTTTAAAGACGAATTACATGCTGTGATTTTTTCTGACGGATATTCTCAAGTTAAAGTTGATTTCATGTAATCGAATGAACTATCTTATAAGTAAAGTTGTCCCAAGAGCGCAACTCAACAATATTGGCAATATCATTTTAAACTCGTCTACTTTAAAATGCATAATGTATGTCTGAATTGTCAATATAAATGAGTCAGATAAAATTAAATTATTAGAAGAATTTTTTCACTATGTAACAAAAAACAAAAATTTGTTTAATTTACTGTTTGTATTTTGAGAACGATTTCCGAATTGGAAATTGAAACGTCAATAAACGTATTTTTAACTTTAATTTTGGCTTATTCCCAGTTATAAATAGTAATTAATTATTTATTGTGCAAAATTTCACTTTTTTTTGTTAAAAGTGGGGAAAGAGAAAAATTAAATTATGAAAAGAACTGTGTTTTTTTCTAATTAATTCTTAGGATTTTTCCATTTAATTCTTAGACTTAATTCCTATGGTCAACAAAACAATGTCGTTATCTGTATAATGATTTCATACTTTATTAAAAGAGTATTATTAATTAACTTTTTATTCAAATTTCAGAAAGAAGGGCATAAGCATGGCATCACAAATTTGCGAGTTTTATCCACCAACAGAGAAATTTAATGTATCCAATGCAGAATTTTATGATTTTTTATTACAGGTAATTACAGTTTAAAAAAATATTTTGTATGTATCTAACAACATTGGACAGTTTTAATATGATATGCGAAGAAGAAGAATTTATGATCATGGTAACTATCATCTACCATCAATTCAGGATCATCAGGATGATAGTATCAACTATCATCAATTCAGGATCATGTACTGATCGATAGTACAAAATCTTGAATTTACCTTGAATGTCAAAAAATCAAATAACTATCTCTGAAATACAAACTTACTGCTAAAATACTTCAAATCTCGTAGAAAGAATTTTCTATAAATCGCAAGAATCTAGTATTGATGACAAAGATTTACGCCTACTTAAAAAATTATACTTACAGCAAAGGGCAACTGTAAGAGTAGACAACGAAACCTCACAAGAATTCATGATAAAACGGTCACCGTTAAGATGGCATACTTAGGGAATGTGATGCGCAATGAGAAATATCAACTAATTCAACTAATTTTATAAGGCAAGATAGAAGGCAAAAGATCTCAAGGGTGTAAAAGGACATCGTGGAGAACATCAGACGGTGGGCAGGAATGACTACCATATATCCATAATTCGCACTATAGAGAGCGGCGTAATACGCAATAAGAAAGTATAAATGGTTTTGTTCCTCACTTACTATACTATATATTTATATACTATATATATTTGGACTATATACCAAAATATACTTTTTTCGCAAATCGCCAGGAAATTTTGACATTCCTGTCAAAATTTCTTGAAGAAAAAGTCAGGACTTCCTTACTGTAAGGAAATGTCATTTCCTTACTGTAAGGAAATGATATTTTCGTACAGTTGTTAGTGTTCTACATAAATGATAGATAAACACATTGCTTATAAGGAATTAATTTATATTTTGAAAACATCAAGTCATTGCTGAATACATTTTTAAGATCAATTTACAGTAATTTGACAGTTAGTACAATTATTGAACATTGGAGGAACACTCTTAGAACTATGAGAAACATTTTGGACAACATGCAGGGTGGAAGTGTCATTTTGTTGAATATTTTGTACTGTGAAAATTTTATTTGCCACCTTAACCTTATTGTTAAGCGATTCTTCGATATATCCTTCAGCAACGTTTGATGACTTCCATCCGCCATGCCTCTTTAAACTAGTTATGTCGGCACCAGAGTCAACCAATATTGTTGCAGAAGACCGACGAAAGCAATGACCAGTATATTCTGTCGGATTTACCAAGTTCAAATAAGTAGCAATTATTTTGGGCATTTTTCTAAATTGATGAATTCCTACCACTTGTCTACAACCCTTTCCGCTTTGATATTTAAAGAAAAATCGGTCACTGTTCATATTTTCTGGTCTTAACGAAACATACTTTCGATAAACATTCAAGTAGATCTGATTAATTACAAATGATCTTGGTTTGTTGGTTTTCGAATCAGGTATGCTGATTAAAAGCTTAGATTCTAAGTCTTCTATATCGTGTACAGTCATTCGAAATAACTTATCCATTCTACAGGCCCCAGAAATACCAAATATTACAGCCACCTAAAAAAATAAATAAAGCTATAATCTAAATAGAAATTAAAACCTTGTAAATTACCTTAATCATTAAATTTTCTTTATCTGGAGCTTCCTGGATAAATTTTTCAATTTCTTCCTTCGTTAAAATCTTAGATTTCTTTGCCCTATAACCTTGAGCTTGCCGTTTCAATAAAGAACGAAGTTTTGAGTATGTAGACATCTACATTGTGTTTAAGTGCAAGGTTTGACTTCAGCATTGAATAATTTTCCCATAATGTTGAAGATTTCATCTTTAAACAAAGGTCTAGGAAGTATGCCATTACAACATTTTCTGAGAAAGAACTCGTATTTTTACTCATGCGATAATCCATAAAACGTCTGTATGCATTTTCGTACTTTTCCTCTTGATTTCTTTGGCAATAATTTTAATGAAGCAGTATTCACTGCCTCAACCAGCTCTGGAGGAGTCCCAGGAATGGAAATTTCATCATCACTTATCATTTTACTTTCGAGAACACCAGCAATTAAATTTATAAGCGTCAAGTTTGACAATTCAACCTCAATACGTTTCCATAGTAACCCAAGTAATTTTATTAGGAATTTCAAAGCACCATTTATTTGGGAATAAAATTATCGCGTTTTTTTTAAATCAATCAATATCTGTCGAATTTTAAACGATTTGCGAAAAAATAGTATGTTTACCTCGTAGGAAAAGCCACATTCCTGGACTCTGTGTTGCTAAGTCTCGGCTTGCGCCTCGACTTAGCAACCTTCACAGTCGTCCAGGAATGTTAAGCTTTTCCTACCCGGTAAACAATGTACTATTAACTAAACAGAAAAACAGATTCACTAGGTAATATCTTAGCTCTTGCAAGTCTATAAAAAACATAATATTGGAGTAAGTTTTAATTCTTTTAATATTTAATTTATATTTTTTGCAGAGTAGAACAGAACTTTTTACCTACTGTGGCTACCTTGGGTTGGTAGAATAATTGTAGCGAGATATTTACACCGATTATTACTGAGGAAGGCATTTGTTATTCATTTAATATTCTCGATAAACATGACATTTTCAATGATAACAACGAGTAAGTCTTACTGTAAGTTTTTATTATTATTTTATACATTAGTTTATAAGTTATAACTTTATACTTTCCTTATCATTGGTACTACAGCTCTAATTAAATGTCCACTTTTTCTAACCTGTTTAGCTAGTCACTGCTCTTTATTGCCAATTTGTCGCGCGAATCCTACTCATGTCCTCTTCTATATCATTACTTCATCTTATCCTTGGTATATTCTGGCTATTTATTATTATTTATATTAAGAATATAAAATACTGGCCATTTATTAATATTTCTTATATATTTAAGAAGCAACAGACGGTGAAATGGAACTTAAACGAATTCAAAAAGGTTATAATATGAAAAAAACACGAATAGTCTATATATAAACAAAAAATACAGCTATATGTTTTAATCAATATACAATTCACAGTTGAGGAAGGGGTGGGTGATTCTCCACCATTCCTTGACACAAGAATTGTTAGGACTACAAATAATGCGTTAAAAACCAGATGGTTCAGACAAGCCATCTATAGTAATAGGTTTATAAGCTACTACCCACAACATCCTAACAAGATGAAAATGAACCTTCAAAGAATGTGCCATACTTCTATCTCATCCAGACTACCTACAGGAAGATCTATTATTAAAAAATATTTTGATTGAGAAGTCTTATCCTCCACGTATTCTACATAGGATGCTTTTTTCTGTTACATCACGTCTGTTATGATTATTTTAGGTTATTAACGTAATAAACACCAAAAAACATCTAAACCATTGCATCTCTGTATTCTAAGATCAAATATCCTATAGATAAGAGAAAGCTAATGTAGTGTATAGCATTAATTATACTCAAAGTGAAGCTGTTTATATGATTGTAACTGAGAGGAATTTGTCTAATCTTACTATTTCTCACAAAAGTGATTGTAAAATCAAAAAACAAGTTGTGCTTTGGCATAGTATGTAGTAGACAAACATCCTATCATGAATTTGGATAACATTAAAATTTTGTACAAGGAAGGTAATAAATTCAAAAGGACCTTTTTAGCAATCATATCTAGGTATATCATAGTCTAAGCAAACGATAAAAAATCGATTTAGAAACTGCATCAAATCAGTTAAAACTTATCCAGGCGCTGACATTGGGTCTGATCACAATCCCATAGTAGCTGTAACCAAATTAAAATTAAAAAAGGTGATCAAAAAGAAGTCTCGCAAAAATATTGATACAGCCCAATTACAAGACGAGAAAGTTAAGGAATCAGTTCAAAGACAACTGAACGAAGATTTAATTTGGGAAAATATTGGTGAAAACATCCATGAGGGCTTAAATAAAATCATAAAAACAGTAAAAAAAATGAGAAAAACATGAGAAAAAAAATGTGAGAAATTTACAAGGCAGGTCAAAGCTGAAAAAGCAGGCTTGGATCACAGATGACATATTGGATTTAATGGAACAACGGCGACTAGCGAAAAACAACGAAACACTTTACAATAGCATACAAAAAGAAATTCGACGTAAAATACGAAAAGCAAAGAGTCAACATCTAGCCAAACAGTGTCATGACATTGAAGAACTTGAAAATAGATACAACACGTTTAACATGTATAAAAAAGTGAAAGAATCGGCTGGTATCTTCAATAAGAAACAAACTGCATTGCTACAGGATGAACATGGTAAAGTAAGCTACTGGAAGCTGTGGCTGTTTCAATTGCCTACAGTAAAAACATCAATTTTTGCAATATATACTTACCGCATCCTAACCAAGACGACATAAATGAATTAAGAGCACTCATAAAACAATTACCCCATCCCAAAGTAATTCCAGGCGATTTTAACTGCCATCACCCAGCATGGGGTAGCCAAAAAATCGATAAATGTGGCAACCTTCTACACAGTATGTACACACAGTCTGACTCAGTCCTGTAAGCAGCTTAGAAGTAATATAAGGAGAACCCCCTCTAGATCTAAGACATCTACTTAGTTTAAATTGTGCAGCAAGAATATCTTCCAATAAAAAGCACCCATTATATTCTGAGATTATTAACGCACCTACATCCAATTTGTATAAAAACAAACAATATAAAGACAAACCCTTTAGGGAACGAGTCAATCAAAAAGGATGCAATTGCAATGAATTCAAATTATCCATAACCACAAAATTAAACTTCCCTCCATGGCTTCTCACTACCCGATTTAACTTTAACACAGTACCCAAAAAATACCACAAATCCCAACCTTATCATTAATGCATTCAAAGAAATTATGGAGAAGTATCCAAATCACCACATAATATACACAGATGCATCAAAAACTGAAAATCTCCATGCCGCAGCCTTCACAAATAAAAATTACAAATATGTCATTAGAATTCCACAGCACTGCAGCATTTATACCGTGGAAACCACAGCGATATTAGAGGCTATTCAAAAACTCCTCTCTTAACGACTGAAAATAATATTTTAATCATCACATATTCACTCAGCGTAATTCGATGGCATTAATCAACTTTTCCCTAGCCATTCTATTGCACAAAATAAAAGAAATGAACATAATGCACTAAACCATATAAATAAAAAGGTTACATCTATCTGGATACCTTCACACATTGGCATTAAAGGCAACGATGAAGTTGATCAATTGGCATTAAAATTCATCAGAAATGAAAAAAATTTTTCGGAATCCGTATTGGTTTATAGCAAACAGTCTATTAGATTCAAAATGTAGATTAATTTGATTTTTTAAAATTCATTCATAAACTTTTGATAAGATGGGCAGCAAAGAAATGGGTCGATAATTGTTATAATCATCAATAGAGCCGTTATTCTTAAACAGAGGTACTACCTTTGCAGTTTTGAAAACTTGAGGATAAGTATTACAAACTATTGATTGATTTATTAAAGTTGTTAGAGGTTGAACAATTATATCTTTAATTGTTTTAATAATTTTTGTGTTAAACCCATCAGGATCTTTGCTGTTACTATTTTTTATTTCTGTAATAGCTAAGTCAACTTCACTAAAGTTCACTGGCTGAAAACTAAAATATGGAATATTTTTTTGTGGTATATACTTTAAATAGTCATCAAGAGTTATCTGAGGAACCTCAAGCTCATTTATTACTCTCTCAGCAGTTGAGCAGAAGTGGCTATTAAAACTATCTGCATTGAGTTAGAATTATCAGTGAAGAAAACATTTTTATGTTTGTTACCATTAATAAGTTTCCACATAGCTTGTTGAGAGTTGCCAGAATTTTTTATAAACCTATCATTTGAATTAATTTTTGCAAGCTTGATGGCTTCCCTGTACTCTTTTCTAAGTTTGATAATGGTACTTCTAGGTGCAGCAATGGGATCGTTTCTATTTATTGCTATAATAAATTGAAGTCTCTCACGCATTTTTCTCAAAGTGTCATTGAACCAGTTTACTTTTTTACCTGGATTATTTTTATTTAGCAATTTAGATTTTTCTGGAAAAGAGATATTTATGGAATTTAATAACACATCAAATAGCATTTCAAATTTTAAATTAATATCCAAACTATCATTGTATACAAAATTAAAGTTGCAATTTAGCAAAATCTGGTTCATATTAAAGAGTCCTTCATCTGTGATAGGTCTATAACAAACTCTGGTTGCACAATTTGTGGATGAGTAAGCTATCTGAAAGGAAATACCTCTGTGGTCAGATGTGTGAGTGAGATCCACAGGTTTTGTGGTACCATCAATATTTGCGAAAACATTATCAAGACATCTATTACCTCGAGTATTAAATTTAACTTTTTTTGTAATATTGTAAGATCTAAAAAAATTACAGAGTTTTAAAGCTCTGATATCTGTTTCATTAAAATAGACATTAAAGTCACCCGTAATTATAACAGGTTTATGAACATTAATTTTTTTAAGAGCTTTAGCCATAATGGTAAAGAATTTGTCTAAATCACCATCTGGAGTACGATATACAGTAATAAGCTGCACATTAGATTTATTTAATAAAATACCTGTAATCTCACAATGCTGTTCAGAAGAGAGATTTTCAATATTAAAATGATTAAAACTTACGTTATTCATAGTATATATACCTACACCTCCATGAGACTTGACCGTCCTGCAAAATCCAGAAACCATACGATAAAAACATGCCGAGGAATTAGTGGAAACCTGAGAAGTGCGCTTACGACAAATATCTCGGATTTATTGCAGTTTCTAAAAGACATAAACATTTATTATAAACTTAAATTTATCAAACTGTACTACTGTGTATGTCCCCGCAATAATAACCCTTGGTGATTGGTGTGGGTTCTCTATGTTTAAATAAAAAATAAACTATGCAATATTATTGTCTGTCAGTTTATAATGAGAAACGCACCAGTTCGACTACTTAACGGAAAGAAATACCTCAACAATAAACAAATTAAAATGTAGCATGTAACAGTAATATTCTATAGATGGTTTACATGGCTCTGAACCAACTTGTTTGAGTAGAAACTAGCTCTCTAATTTTCGAGACCTCCTTTATATTGAAGTTTCATTAAGCTAATGACGCGATAGTCTTCGGAGCGTTAGCAGTTTGTGGGATCAATACGAAAGTTTACTGCAACCACTTGTGGAAATTATTGGTAAATAAAGGGGCTCAGACTACGTTCACAAGATTTTCATGCAGTTTATTACGTCGATGTTAATTACATTAAGCAACTTACTATGCTGCTACTAAATTGATAACATAAAATCTAATGTACGGAATTTATCTACCTAATTTCGTTATATCCAGTTTATTTGCTTTACACGTTGTGTTTTGTTTATTCGTATACATTCATACTCTGACAGGTTTGTCTAATTAGGAGCGTAATACGGGCACGTGGGAAGTTTTCAAAATGAAAAAAAGTATAATTCAGAAATTATCTCTGGAGTTCTACAGTTTCGGTATAACAAACATCAAACGTAATGTAAACAGGACTTTCATAATATACATATTGAACGAAATAAATTCGGAACATACGAAATATGTATTTCGGCTCAATTCTGCTGTAGGTGGTTGACCAACAAAAGGTTGTCAAATAATTATATTATAAAAATCCAATACTTCAGCGGGCTGCTGGATTCTGAAATCATAAAAATTGAAAGCTACACATAAATCTACGATTTTATTATGCTGTCAAACCACTTTATAGTCCAGGAAATGAAGCATTTCACCTTCGCAATTTTTTCGTCCTGCGTGGATTGACTTGAAATTTTAACAGAAGGTAGGTAATAGCCTAAGGATCAAAATCTATATCAAACCAAAGTGCGCAAAAGCCTTGGGGGTGGTTGCCACCCCATCTCGGGGTGAAATTTTTTTTAACGTTTTAACTACAGGTTTCGATTAAAAAAGTGATTCTAAACAAAAAATGTTCCATACATTTTTTTGTAGAACTGATATTTTTCAAGTTATTCGCGATCGAAAGTAACACTTTTAGACAAAAAATCGACGTTTTTAATCGATTTTTCGCGAATAACTCGAAACCGGTGCATTTTATCAAAAAAATTGTGGAAAACAAATTTGTAGCTTTTAAAAAGACAAATATAATTCATTTTTAAAAATGTTTTTGCGATATAATAGGAACCGAAATACGGCCTATCAATGTTCAGCGGTTTTCTTCAAATGCCAAATTTGAAAGATTCAAAGCCAAATATCGGAAGAATGATGCATTTTTGGAAGAAAACTCTCAGAACCTTTTTTAAAGAGCATAAATAGACCTATTATAAAAAAAGACTCTAGCTCAAAAATTGAGTGAGTTATGATGAAAATAAGGTCAATACCTCATTTTTTTACGAAAAAATCGATGAAAACAACCCCCTAACCACCCCCATAATTAAAATCGATCTTCACCCTTCTGCAATTCTCTTTGTGCATGTATTGTTAATACGTCCAAGAAGTTTGACCCATTTAAAATGCTTAGTTTTAGAAAAAGTTCAGCTTAAAACGAGAAACGATTTACAATTTCATATTTTTTACCCTTCTTTTTTTAAATATTCCCGAAAATACTGAATATATGAAAAAAATAAAATGTACTAAATTGTAGCTTTTTTAATGACCAAAATTTTCTTTATTTAGATTTGTTGTACAATGAATATTTGGCGAGATATAGCCGTTTAAAGCATCGATTTACGATCAAGCACCATCTTTTTCGAGCCCTTTAAACTCACCCCATTTAAAAACCAAGGGTTGCAAAAAGATTTAATTTACAGATCCTTGTAGCTCTTAAAAACCTCTACAAAATCGTTTTTGAAGAAACACTCTATCGTTAAAAATGAAGGAAATACGTTAAAAAAACCAATTAAATTTTTTTTCCGGAAAATTCCATTAGTATAGTACAGTACATTTCGGAGCATAATAATCTACAAAACCAGTATATTAGGTAGTGGGGCATTATACGTGCGAAATTTTAAGCGTTCTTATTTTGAAATCCAATACAACAGAATAAAACATCTGCTCATATGTCTATGGCTTGGCAATGAAAATATCAGAGCAACAGATTGGGGATGGTATTCCAAAGATGGTTTGTTATTACCCGTACGCATGAACAACCAACCTGCACCCGATGAACTTTTGAAAATTATTTTTTGCCAATGCAAAAAAGGATGCGGCGTTTCATGTGGGTGCAGAAAAGTTGGTTTATACTGTAACTCTACTTGTTCTGGGTGCTCAGATGAAGGGTGCAATAATAGTCCACCAATAATTGAAGAAGATGAGGATGACATAGATCACGATGAAGATGTAATTGATGACGAATAAAATTAATATTATAATTGTTTTACCTATAAATGTAAATATTTTCAACTATTTATGTAAATGTATAAGAATATATACACCCGATCTTACACCCGATCTTCAATTTATATTATTGTAAATAAAATTACTTTCATTAATTAATATATTTTTAGAGTAGTATTTGAGGACTTTCATAATTCCCCTATATCGCATAACTGGGATGTTGAAAGTGGATATACCAAAAGGGAAGTAACAATGTATCCTAGAAGGGCTCTGAGAGTTGGCCTGAAGAATGCGTTATATGTTATCCTTAAAACAAAAAAATCAGATGTAGAGTATGAGTGCGCTCTAGACGAGTCTGGATATCGCGTAAGTATACTTCCAACTTCTTTTTCTAATGTAAATTAGAACGATTATCATTCCACATCCTCTTTGATGTTTCTTCAAGGTTTCCAAGATCTCAGATTCCCGAGCCCCCAAACACTACTACACTGATCACTAACCAATGTATTACTGGTACTGGGAACAGAGGTCGGTCATTTATACCGTCGATGGTGACGCGGTTCGGGTGGAGACATTTTCTTTATGAGAGGTCTTTATGTTGAAGGTATCCGTATGCCGCCATCTCTTTTATTGAGACAATTTGGCCTCTTTTTAGTTTTTATGGCTTCTCGAATAATTCTTGGGTTATAGAAGCTGATGGAGTTATGGTTCTGGAGTTTTCAAAATCAATTTTGTGACCTGTATGAAGATGGGGTTGACCTAGAGCTAAAATTGAATCGAAATTGCGAACTAAAATGGAATGTTTATTAATTATATTTTAGATTCTACGATTTTTTTGGCCTATATAGGATAAGGGGCATTTTTACAAGGAATAACATAACTCAATTTCAACTTCAATAACATTGAATAAACTTCGTGTTGTTCATTTGGAATTTTATCTTTGATCGATCGGGCAAAAGATGAAAGTTTTTGTTGGAGGGTAAATGTTATGTTTATTCCTCTTGATTTGAGAATTTTGTCGATTTTGTCAGTGAATCCTTTGATGTAAGGAAGAAAAGATTTTGTATGATGAGAGTCTCAACCCAAATACGAGTCATAACTCGTCAAATACCATGTATAGTAGTGTAAAACTTAATACTGTAAGAACGGAAATTATGAGAGGAATCTAAATATGAAAAAATATACAGGGTGTTCTTTACTACGTAATTATTACTGTTCGAACTTAATCCAAACTGGCAACAGCACTCCCAAGTCTTACCCCTCACTGCAGCATCGCGCGGTCCACAATTTGACTGCGAAAAATTGCACAGTGAGAATTTCTTTCTCTTTACGTTCAACTGCCGACACGCGAAGAGACACCGCTCTTAAGTTTCAACTTAGCAAGCAAAGATCAAATAAATGATAACTGTATTATCTATCATACAATTTAAAGGTATACAGTTTATAATCCAAATATAATTCTACTGCGTAAGAAGTACTTTAATTACTTGTCATCATCATCACACAGCCAAATTTGTTCACTGTCGAACATAGGCCTCCTCAAGATGTCTCCACTCTTCTCTGTTCTGTGCAGCTGCGATCCAGTTTGTCACTATTCTTTTAATGTCGTCCGTCCATCTGGTAGGTGGTCTTCCACGATTTCGCTTGTCTGGCCCTTGGCCACCATTCTAAAATCTTCTTTGTCCATCTGTTGTCTCTCTGTCACTCCAGTTCTTCGCCGTATCTCATCATTTCGTATTCGGTCTCTCAAAGTTACGCCAAGCATAGATCTTTCCATTTTTTCGTTGGCTACTTGTAACTGTTTTATTGATGCTTTAGTCAATGTCAGTGTTTCAGCTCCATAAATGAGCACCGGAAGTACGCACTGGTTAAATGTTTTTCTCTTTAGCTTTATTGGATGTTTTCCTTAAGCTTAAGCTGATAGCTTGCCATAGGCTGCCCGTCCTAAAGCTATTCTTCTAGATAATTCGCATGTTTGGTTGTCTCTACTTATTTGTATTTCGTGGCCCAGATATATGTATTTGTCAACCGTTTCAATATGCCAGTTTTCTAGTTTCAATGCCCACTAGGTACTAAGTTGGTCATCATTTTAGTTTTCGCAAAGTTTATTTCCAGCCCTACTTTTTGGAGACTTGTTGTAAATTTTGTAGCATTTCGTTGGCCTCCTTTAAGTCGTCGGTTATTAGAACTATGTCATCTGAATATCGTAGGTGGTTCAGCCTTTCGCCATCGACACTCAAACCTCTGTTTTCCCATTCTAACATCTGGAATGCATGCTGCATTACGGCATTGAATAGTTTTGGTGAAATGTTGTCTCCTTGTGCAACTCCCCTTTTTAGTTTTATTTTTTTGAGTAGGGGTGTGGAGGTTTATTGCTGTTGTGGCATTTGCATATATATGTTGAATAATGCTGGTATATCGGTAGTCGATTTTACAATCTCTCAAAGCTCTTGAGATAGCTACCATCTCGATAGTGTCAAAGGCTTTTTTATAGTCAACAAATACTAGAATTAGTGGCCGGTTGTACTCTATAGTTTTTTCAATTAGGGCCTTTAGACAAGTTAGATGGTCAATTTGTACCATACCCAGGGCAAACACCTGCCTGTTCTCTTGGTTGGCATGTTTCTAGTTTGTTCTCAATGCTGGCAGTGATAATTCGAGCAAATAATTTATACAGGTGACTTAGAAGACTGATTGGCCTATAGTTTTCGAGTCTGTTTGATCTCCTTTCTTATGCATGAGGAGCGTTATAGAATTATTCCATTCAGCTGGTATTGCTTGGTTTTCTAAGCATATATTGAAGAGCTGCTTGATTGTCCTGATGAGAGCAGAGCCTCCGATTTTTAGCGCATCCGCCACTACTCCATCTTCTCCTGGTGCTTTGATCTTTGATATCTTCTGAACCTTGATTCATAATTTTTTTGTTCTGTATGTTCTGTCGGGTTTAAGTCCAATTTATTTGTGTATAGTGTTTTATAGAAGTCTTCTACTATCTCTAGCATTTCGTCTCTGTTGGACGTTAGTTTGCCCATTCTTTCCCTTAAGTCTGATGATTTCTTTTCTGCTGTTCGGCAATTTCCTTCTTAATATCTTCATGCTCTTGTTGTGCTCGATTGTCTGCGAGATTTTCTCATTTTTATATGCCCTTTCTAATTGCTTTTGAGACCTCTTTGTTGATTTTATTTATGCTTTGTTGTTCTATACTCTTATCTTTTAGCATTTCACTTCTTTCTTCCATTTTAAGTTTGGTGTTAGCAGTGATTCTCTCCTCTCTCTTGTTACCTGTACAACATTTTCTTTGAGCTTCTGCTATGGTATTAGTAATTACTTTATTTAGCTGATTTATATCATTTGTGGGGGGCCTGTTTTGTAGACGTACCGTTGTTTGATCTGCAAACTCTGTTTCATTTTTTGGTTGTGACCATGCTTTCAATTTTTTCTTTCTTATTAGTTTATTTCTCTCTTTATCGATGTTAATTTCTATTCTAGCGCGAACCATTCTGTGATCACTGAAGAATTTTTTATATTTTCTAATCCTGGAGTAATTATTATTTACTCTGTAGAATTCTTCATATTTTCTTTTCCTAGAGAATATCATTGCTTACATTTTTTCTAAATATCTTTTATAGATATTCTGTACCATAATCGAATTATCGACCAATGTGGCATTAAAAATAACCCTGTATATGTAATCACTGATTATTACCGAATTGATAAAATACATTATTAGATTTTGGTTATCATTATTAATTGTTTTGCATTTTAAAATCTAATCTACCTCGTATTATATTGTTAAATTTCCATTAATCCTGGAAGTAGTGGGTATTTTTTACAATAAGCAGGACTTTGTTAAAAAGTCGTATAATTCTATCAACACACCGATCAAAATTAATATTGTAAATTTGTCAGCTTTAATTTATTTAACAAAATACGCTCTACTAGTCTTGAACCCTGTTTAATCTGGATGCTTTCCATTCATAACAAACTCTGTATTGGCATGAACAATGTCAGTTTGTCCGATAACCCTTCCTGTCACATTAATGAATTTTCAGTATATCTACCAATAGTACAGTCACTCCAGCATTTAGCTACATTGAGTGCACCAACATTTCATTTTAAGCTGCTAAAAACTTTTCTGCCTAAAAAACTTTATTCAATATATTTGAACACAATATTTTAAATATACTAAATGACATAGAAATCCGAACACCCAGTTTAAATGATTTTATTTGAATAAAATTTTGTATAAGTACTTAATGAAACATAGTAAGTAAATGATTAAAATTTCAAAATGATTGCATGGCTTTAAAGCCCTTTTACTTTTAATAATGTGTGGATGCACCCCGATGGGTTACGCATTCTTCAACGCGCCTAGGCATGCTTCTGATCAGGTGGTCAATGTCCTCTTGTGGTATCTCATTCCAGGCAACCACCAATTCCTCTCGACCTGCTTGTAGAGTCTGAGGAGGACGTTGCAAATTGAGCAATTTCCTACCCATCATATTCCACACATGCTCAATTGGGGATAAGTTGAGAGATCTTGGTGGCCATGCTAACAATGTGAATTATGTTAAAAAATGTCTATTGTGACGCTTGCAACAAGTGGTCGGGCATTATCTTATTGGAAAGTTGGATTTGCCAGGTGTCAAGATAAGGTAAAAGGTGGAGTTCTAGAACTTCTTGGATATAACGCTGCACGTTCACGTTACCTCTGATGAAGATTAAAGGTAACCTGAAACCATAAGCTATAGCAACTCAAACCATAACTCCAACAGTGTGATGAACATGTGTTTTAACAAATAACTGTGGATTCCTTCTTTCACCATGTCGCCTTCTAACCCTCGCTCGACCATCGTGCATGCCTAAACAAAATCGAGACTCATCTAAAGACAATACTGTTTCATTCCTAATTCCAGAGTGACCGTTCCCTGCACCACTGAAGGTGATTACGGCGGTTTTCTGAAGTTAAAGGGAGGACCCAGTGTGGTCGGTATGAAAACAGGCCAAAACTTCTCATTCATCGGTAAACACTTCGCATGCCAATAGGTCTTCCATGTTCAGCAAACCATTCATTTGCAATGGAGCTGGTAGTGGAAAAACGGTCTCTTCAGGCCAATAATCTTAGGCGGCGATCTTCACGGTCTGTTGTTCTACGGCGGCGTCCAGTGCCCCTTGCTCTTTGCGTACGGCCTTCTTAAAGCCATGCCTGACAACACCAACCACGGTGTCTACACTTCTTTTGCACTCTAACTGCAACTTCCCGAAAAGAAAGTCCAGCTTCCTGAAGTCCCATTATACGGCCCCTATCAAACTCACTAAGTTGACGAAATCGTACAGGTCTCCGTACTCTAGCATCGCAACCAATCGTAAAGAATATAAAGAACCACAATACGCCAAATTCGGATCTTTACTGCGGCTGAAATATTCATTTTTAGATTGTTAGTGAGAGCGCCCACCAAACTGGCGTGGCAGTGGCAAGTGGCAAGTAGCACGCATCTAGCATGTTATTTTTAAATGTAACCAATGCAAACAAAGTATTAGAATGAATGACGTCACTATTATTTTGGTGAGCGCTGAATCATTCGTTTTCATTGGTTACATTTTAAGTAATATGCTAGACGCGTGCTACTTGTTACTTGCCACTGCCACGCCAGTTTGGTGGGCGCTCTCACTTAGTGAATTTAAAAACAAAAAGTATAAAAATCCGAATCTTTAACTGATAAGGCTAAAAACTTTACCACTTGTTTTTTCAGTAAGATAAATAAATAACACCAAATTTTATTGAAATAAAATCATTTAAACTGGGTGTTCGGATTTCTATGTCACTTAGTATATGTACAGATGTCCCAACTTGCTATCGTTTGCAGGGTATATCAAAAACTAGAGGAAATAGAAAAAAGTAGTAAACATGCCACTACTTTTATTTTCGGCGCTCAAGAAAATTATCGATAACTCCCCACGTTGGCGAGATACAGGGCGTTTCTAGAAAATTGTCGAAAACGACAAGGTTATATATCCTCTTTATTAAGAAAAATTTAAAACAATTTTATTGCAACTTTTGATGGATATATTATGAAAGAAGAGGTTTAAATCTTTGTGAGTAGGTAAATTTAAAAAACCCTTAAAAGGGCTACATCAAAATAACAAACGTTTTCGTAATAATAATTCCGTCATCAGGTTAAAAGCCTAAAATAAGTATGAACATATGACATTTTTAAAAATGAGGTCATTATTCTGTAATGATAACTTGCAACTTCAACTTCGAAAGCGCATGGTTAAATGTTACATTTGGTCAGTCCTCTTATACGGTGTCGAAGCATGGATATTAAAAATATCCACCATTAATCGTCTGGAGTCCTTTGAAATGTGGCGGCACCATCGAGCAAAAAGACAAAAGAGGGAATGTAAAGGTAGTGTTGGCAAAAATATTGTTAGACAGGAAGTGCGATCTTAGAGGCCACATTAATCAACGAAAGAGAGTCCTCTCTCCTTGTTTGACATCAAATTTAGTTGGGTTTATGTTATTGTTTGTCCCAAATGTCACATGAAATCTTATTTATATTGAAGTTTTTTAACATTGTGTCACATTTTAGACTATTACGGTTAATAATTAATTAAAACTTTGTCGTCTAAAACACATTCTGAAAAATATTATATAGCTACTGTTAACTGTTTTGACCAGACATGATAAATTTACTGTTCTGACCAGACATGATAATTTTGGAACCTTCACAAATAGAATAGGCAAATCTGCCTCGGCAGACTGTACTGTTTGTGGGGTACCGGATGCTCCCGCCCACATTTTCAACTGCCAGAGATGGGCAAATGAGAGGGGAGATTTCGAGAGGCGAATACGTTTTGGGCTTGATGAAAGAAACATTGTAAACATAATATTGAGAGGAGAGAAACAATGGAGAGAAGTATACTGTCCTGATTTCTGGGGCGATGAAGAAAAAGGAGCAGGAAGACAGAGGAGGAAAATAATATTATTTATTAGTTTATGGCCTAACGTCTGAAACATTTTCTGATTTACGGTAATAGGTATGGTTATTTGTAAATTTTTAGTTTTTTATTTTATTTTTTTATTGAGTGGCAAGACCACCTCTCTAAAACGGTGGTTAAGGTATTAGCCGGAACACGGTAAATCCGGCACTACCCCGGAGTTTTCTGGCCTAGTATCCTACTTGGCTGAAAGATGCCAGAGTGTCTTGTTCCGTGACGTAGATGTCCAAAAAAGATTCCCCCCCCCCGTTGCCTGTCAGAATTCAATGGATACCTTCTTCTTAGGCTCTTACTGGAATCTGGCAATACGGCAATTAAAAAAAACGTAAGAAGTCATGACATCTTAACTACTTTTTTTCTATCTCCTCTAGTTTTCGGTATACCCTACAAAATATACCAATTTGGGACACTCTGTACACCTGATCTTTACGAATTTTTTTTCATGCAAGAGTAGTTTTTACCTCCAAATAACAAAAAGCACACATCGAGACAATATAACTTTTGAATCGGAGGGTGAGATGAGCTGGTAAATGAATGTTCAAGATAATACATGCAATCACAAAAAATTGGGATCTTTTACCTCATTTTCCCATTTAGTGACTATACTAATATATATCCTACTATCATACGACGTGGCAATTTCAAGTGTTAATTCATTTGTAATAGAATAAATCTCTTAGGTTTAATGTGTCAATATGTTTGAGATTTATAATATTCAGTAAATAATTAACTTTGAAGCCTAAAACGGTAATATGACGGTTCTGTTAATAGGCAAATATTATCTGCATAATGCACTCATGACAAAAGATATACAGTAGGATAAAAGGGAATCTGTACTATCGAATATTTACTTAAGAAAGCGGTAAATTGTTGTCATGGGATTATTTTACACTAACAGCAGTTCCTTTAGGCTTTCTCTTTTCTTTTGGAATATGATTCATCATCATCAGTAGCTGAACCAGCTTTTCTATTTCTTTCTCTCTGTTCTGGGCTTGATGAATTAATTCATTTCCTCTTGTGTGGGTCCAATCTCTGATGTCTCTTAGCCAAGATTTTTTCTTTCGTCCTATGCCCCTTTTACCTTCAATTTTGCCTTCGAATATTACCTGGAGCTGACCAAACGTCTTTCTAATTTTGATAGTATTCAGATGAGGGCGTGTGTTCATTATTCTCAGTACTTCTTCATTCGTACTTCTGCTGGTCCAGCTTATTCTTAACATTCGGCGGTACATCCACAGTTCAAATGAATTTTATTTGTTGACGTCATACTGTTTTAATGTCCAGGTCTTACAGCCATATAGTAATAGAGACCACTCATACCACTTTAGTGTTCTTAATCTTATTGAGACTGATAGCTTGGGGTTACAGATCATTTTACGCATATTCATGAAACCAGATCTTGCTATTTTAATGTGTCTTGTAATTTCTTTTGAATGGTCTAGTTGACTATTTAGCTCTCTGCCAAGGAATATGAAACTTTGGAAACTTTGAAGGGTGATACCATATATTTGTATGTTAGGTGTAACTTGTTCATGGGTTTTTTTGTGGAATATCAAAATTTTGGTTTTGGAAAAAATAATGTCCAGACCCAGCCCCATTTTAAATGTAGCAGAAGGAAAATCGAGACGTATAACATTTTTCATATAAAGATTTACGTCGTCAAAACCCCACAGCGTTGACAAAACATCAGAATAGTTTGTAAATGAGGAATTTTTAAAATGTCAACTATTTGTCAAACTATTATATTAACAGTAAAAACACTTAGTTTTAAGACTACTGCAACATATTAAACTACAAAAAAACATTTTAATACAAAATTATATATTCTAAATTTTAAACTTACCTCTTTTAGGGCTTTAATAGTAAAAACGTCCCGCCATTATTTCTTGTTCAAAATAATCTATCTTATATAAAAGCTTATCAGCTTTCTACAGACTATTTATTTGTTTTGGCATATCACAATCACAATACACAACAATATATAGTTTTTAAAGCTATTAATCTAAATTTATTATGTATTTATAAATACAATTTATTAATATATATTATATTATGATCAAATTGTGTAAGAAATCAAAACATAAACAAAATTCATACTCTAAAAAAGCGGCAACACTTAATACACTTTTGCCACACGCTTAACTGTCAATAAAATTTGACGTGTTTCCGTATCAGTTGCGTACAATTGTCTAATATATTTAATTAAAATTATTATTTTGTGGAATATTACACTTAAATAGTTATTTCCTAAAATTAATATTATTAATAATAACAAATGTTTTTGGTTATTTAATTAATATAATTCAAAATTTCCAATATAATGACGATTACATTTTTCTGATTATTACACCAAGTTGACGCCTATGAAAGATCGAGCAGTTCCGTAGGGGTTTTATGTTATTAGCTGTGTTAGGAAAATTTGAAGTCTAAGATTGATTTTCTGGAAATTTTAAATACAAGTGACGTCACTGTGTATAAATCGTGACGTGCAAGTGTTTTACTTTAAAAATGGTATATAATCATTTATATTATTAATGAAATTCTGCGTATTGATTTCTCAAATTTCAATTTATTTCAACTTTAGCTCTCAGAATAAACATTTCTTCTTCTTTGCGTTGTGATTATGTGAGCATATTATTTCTGCTTTTAAAAGTTTAAAATTTTTAATAAAAACAATGTTTATTTATATAATTTAAAAACAAAATGACCTAACACTCAGTTTTCCACCCATGACTTCTAATAAGAACTAATTTTCGCTTTTTTTCCCAATGAAATGATAATAATGAATTATTATAATATTGGAACATAAATTATTAGCTACATTCTAATATTATTTAATACTTATTTTACATTTCAGGTGAATATTGACTTACCATTAAATATACCAGAGATAGGAGAAAACTTTATATCAGTTCCTTTAAATCAAAGGGTTATAGCTCAAATTACGCCACATATAATAAAAACTTCGGATGGCGTTAAAAACTTTGCTGTTTCAAAGAGAGATTGTTATTTTGAATCAGAGAGATCTCTTAAGTTCTTTAGAAGGTATTCACAGGCCAATTGTTTACTGGAATGTAAAACTAATTATACCTTACGAGAGTGTGGGTGTGTTGGAATTAATATGCCAAGTAAGTTTTACTTAATGTTTGAAATATATTTTTATTAAAACTAGACTGTCAGCATCGAAAATGGAGTAAATTTATTCTTTTTTTCAGCTTGTATTATTTTTATAGAAAATAAATAATGTGTACTTCTTCAGATCACTTCGAAGAAGAAATAAAATGGTTTACTGATAATCTAGCTACAGTTCTTACAGAAAACCATGAATATTTCACAATAAAATGTAGCGATTTTAATGTTAAAGTAGGAATAAAAACCGATCCAGTTGAAGATACATTCGCACGAATCAAAAATCTTTAGTATCAATGTGCAAACATCGAATTGGACACAACAGGGATTTGAACTGAATTGAAGCATTTGAACTACGTCGCGTCGTGGAGTGAGGCAAGGATGTATTCTATCGCCTCTACTTTTTAATATCTGCTCCGAATTCATTTTTTAAAGAAGCTTCTGTTGAAGATACATGCATTAAAATCAACAGAAATAATGTCAACAATCTCAGATATGCAGACGACACGGTACTTATTGCCTCCAATCAAGAATACCTGCAACGACTTATAAGCAGGGTAACCGAAGTATGTGATAAACATGGGCTAAAACTTAATACTTTTAAGATAACACTGATAGTTGTCAGCAAAACGGAGTTCACAATATTACCTATTTGGGCGTAAACGTTAACGATAACTAGGATATAAATAAAGAAATAAGAATACGCATTGAAAAAGCCAGAGCCGCCTTCTATAAATTAAAGAAAATTCTAATTAATAGAGATATTACGTTAAAAAAATTAAAATCAGATTAATACGCTGCTGTATGGTATGGAGAGCTGGACCCTTACAGGGACATAAATGAAAAAATTGGAAGCCTTTGAGATGTGGATTTATCGACGAGTATTGCGGATAAGTTGGGTTGATCGAATAAGAAATGAAATAGTGTTACATAGAAGGAAAAAGAGGAGAGAAATAACAAAAACGATAAAAATTTCAAAGTGACAATATTTCGGTCATGTAATGAGCATTCAGAGAGGTATAACCTTCTACACCTCATAATACATAGCAAGTTCGCTGGAAGGAGGGGCCCAGGCCGAAGAAGAACATCCGGGCTCCGAAATCTCCGTGAATGGTATCAAGAAGCCACCTCTAATTTATTTAGAGCCTCCGTAAATCAAGTTGTTATTGCCAATATGATCGCCAATGTTCGATATTCGGACAGGGTACTGAGAGAAGAAGAAGATAGAAAAAAAACTTGATCAAGAAAAAGACAAAATAAATTTTATCACTAAGAATAAAAAAATTCTAAATGAAATATGCCGAATAAATGAAATTACTTAGTTAAAAATTTTTCTCAATAAAAAACAGATAAAATAGATTTGTAGAATGACAAACCAAGGCCAAAAAATAAAGAAAAACACAACAAAAAATAGATCTGTTAAACTATAGGCTTACCCCACTAGCTTACTGAACCACTTCAGTATAATAATATAATAATACAAACTCTTTACCCAGATACACGTAATAGTATATTACTTTATGAGGCGGAGAAGCATGACTTTTCTTGACGCGCCCGATATTACGCGCCGAACGAAGTGAGGCGCGTAATAGAGGGCAAGTTAAGAAAAGTCGCTGCTTTGCCGAATAAAGTATACTATTTTTTCTTCAAACGTAGCAATTTTGAACCATAAATAGTACAATTCATACGCTATTTTTACTCGAAATTAACTGTGACAACTATCAAGGTCGTCTAGATGTTAGAAATTAAAATAATTATGTCGTCGGTGGGATTTGTGTCTCCCTGGTTACAGTTGTTTGCAATTATTAAAGACAGCTTATTGTTGTTGCAACCGCAAGCGCAAATTTAGTGCGAAAATGGAAAACCTAAACGAAATTGAGTCCGCGGCTAATGATGCAGTAGCACGTTTGGGGCCCTCCAAGTCCGGAATAAAGTATCGGTTAGCGTACAAGCACTTCCAAGAGTGGTGCGATACAAGAGGAGTACGGCAAGTTACCGAAGACGTTTTACTGGCATATTTTAATATAATGGAAACTGAAAATAAATAGAAATCTTCTACAATGTGGTCACGATACTCTGTGATAAAATCCGAGTTAGTTATTAGAAAAAATGTGGATATAAGCAAATTTTTAAAGTTACGTGCCTTGCTGAAAAAAACAAGCGAAGGAAGTCTAAAGTTTTCACTAAAGACGAGTTTAATAAATTTTTGTTTGAAGCGCCAGACTAGTTGTATTTAGGATTAAAGGTAAAAAAAATTATATTGCAAAGCATGTAGTATACTTTACTAAATTATAAAAATATTTCAGATTGTTGTGTTAATTGGGGTTACCGGCGCCTGTCGATGCGACGAAATGGTTAAAATGAAGACTGTGAACATTGAGGATAAAGAAAATGTAATAATTATCAAAATCCCAGACAGTAAAACACGACAAATTAGATCTTTTACGATCATTGATCAAAACTACATTAAACTGTATAAAAAGTATGCATCACTGCGGCCTGAAAATTTCACAGAAAACCGATTTTTTATCAAGTACCAAAATGGAAAGTATTACCGAGGCGTCATGGGAATACATTCGATCAACGCAGTAGCCCAAAAAGTAGCTACATAGTTATTTTAATTTAAACGATGCAAGCGCATACACGGGTCACTCTTTACGACGAATTTCAGCAACACTTTTAATTGATGGAGGCGGAAATCTAGAATGCCTCAAACGACATGGGGCTGGAAATCAAGCACAGTTGCCGAAGGATATATAGAGGATTCAATAAGAAATAAGAACGATAATGCTCAAAAATGTTAATATCCTCATGATTCGCCAACATCGGGAATGATTGCTGAAAGTTGTTCTCGACCATCAGTATCATCAACAATTACCAATGCGTATTAAGAGTCGGGAACATTTTTGCACGGTTTCAATTTTGAAAATGCCTCATTAACTAATTGTACTTTTAATATTTCTATAATAAAAATGATGTTTAATTTTTGTTAATGACATTTGTATTGTTGCTTTGTGACATGTTTCATATTGTTGCCATGACAACATTTTTCCCTCCTCCGTAAAGAAATGGGAAAAAAAAACTGCTGCCGGCGGAGACATCAAACTTTGACAGGATCAAGTTAGATAAGTAATGTCATCATTATTTGACGTTTGAAGAAAAACATTATTATATCAGATACTGATAAACAATTGTAAAGACAACTCGATTTCTATCCATCGACGAATATGCCAGACTTCGATCAGATTTCGGAATAAAATACCATCTAATGTGCCTCAAAAATCTAGTCGAAAATGCGACCAAATTATAATAGAACACTGGTTCTTTTTTTCGACTTCCACAAATCATTTGATATACTCGCTATTTAAAAGTCGTTAGTTAGCTAGTCACTATTTAAAAATAATATAGACGAAAACTCAACAGTTTAAAACCACCATGTTACGACTCATGTTATGCACTAGGGAGATACTTTGTAACAGTCAGTACTTTGTCAAAACTACTTATAACAGTCAACTCATAAAGTAGGTATTTAAACGAGTAGAGTGAAGCTCATAGTATTAACATCGATATACAGAAATTAAATAATCTCTGCCATGCGGATGATATTTTTCTCATGACATGGGCGGAGCCGGAATGATGCTACAATAACTAAAACAAGTAACACCTATCCTATCAACAGAAACAGTAATGTTCTTATCCATTTAAAATGCAAATATTTTAACCAGTTTACTTTAGCAGTCTTCACATCCTCTTCTTCTTCAGCCTATGCTCATTTACTGTTGAACATAGACCCTTTCCATTGGTCTTGTCCTGAAGAATGAGTTGCTACAAGCCGTATCTCTGTTCATTTCACTTAATATGACCAAGATATTCTAATTTGAGCTCTTTGATTGTGTTAATAATCTCGCATTATTTGCTCATTCTACGTAGTACGTCAACACGATCCACCCATGAAATTCTTAATCTGCGTCGGTATCACCAATCTCAAGGGCTTTGAGCTTTCCTAAAGAAGCTTCAGAGAGTGTCCAAGCGTCTACTCCGTATATTACCATAGAAGACACATAGCATCTGATGATAGATATTTTGGTAATAAGTGGTAAATCGTGACTTTTGAAAAAATACTCATCTTTAAGAACGCTGATCTTGCGTTCCTGACTTTGCTGATGCGTTTTTTTATTTCAGTAGATTGATCCCATTGGCTGTCTATGTTAATACCAAGTAGTAGCTCTTTACTATGTAAATTGGCTGTTAATTAACTAAAAGCCGTGTATTTAAATTACCATTAACAAATTCCCCATTTATAAATTCATTCAGTCTTCAATTTTTTCACACAACTCAGAAAATCAAAATCAATAATTTTTTGTATAAGAAATGTTTTTCTCTTTTATTAACACTTTACAGGAATGTTGTAATAATCGAAATAATAATATTTTCAGAAGAAGCAGGAACACGCTTATGTTTGGTAGAAAAGCAAGTGTGCATGGAAACCGCTGAAAGTAAGTTTACAATTTATTTATTCATTTATAAAATACTATAGTCATGTAAATATAAGATTTTGATGTCCTGAATTTATATTTTGGATCTTCTCTAAGATATAGAGTCTCTAGAATGTTCATATAATTGCCACTTTTTCTAATAATGTATTTGACATGATGAATTGTCGAGTTCTCTGATTAATATATAATGCAGGAACATAAATTCTTTAAACACGATTTCAAACAAAATCCGTTTTCTATCCTTTTGAGTTAAACGAAGAATATACAGTTTACACTTCAGCAAAAGCTTTGCTATATATAGTGTAACAGCATGATACTATAACAAAACAGTCAACGCGCATGTTCTTGTGACGTAAGCCCGAGACAACTTTAATGACAGCAAGTTAAACTTTAACAGCAGAGCAAATGTTTCTACGGATAATAATAGATGTTTCTATAGATAATAATATATACTAATGCCCATTTTAATAGAACTTGAAGTAATACTTTATTTTTGATAGGTCTTTAAAAAAAGTTACTTTGGATGTATGTAGTATGTAGTGAACTGGAACATATTTTTTGTAGTTATAATGGCGACACATTAAAAATAACAAAAAAACTATTTAAAAAACTTAATAGAAGCTGCAAAATATGTAAATGTTAGCGAAGATGTAAAATTATTTTTTTAGATGTAAAATGTATTTTAAAATACGAATCATAGATCAAAATATTAAAGATAATAACAATACTGCAAAAGAAAAATCACAAAGATTGTAAAATAAATGTCTTAATGATATTCATAAAGTCTCAAGTATGACCCGCTTTTCCTTTATGGTCAAATTATTTACATTTTGCCGGCCTTTTATATTTAATTTATGTTTTTTTAGCAATATTTATTTTGTTTGTAAAACACACAATCAAATCGTAGATTCATATATTACTTTAATTAATTTTACAAATTACTTTTTCTGTGAAAACGTGTTTGTTTTACTTAAAACAAACACGTTTTCACAGAAAGTAACTAGTTATGACTTCTTAGTGCAAGATATGGCATCGAGGTATACTTACCGTTAACAGTTTAAGTTTTAAAGTTGTTCATTACAGTAATGGAACAACGTTGCCATATGATGCATCGTTAAAATATGATACATACAAGTCCCCTGGCTTTGTCTCGCTATGACGACATGCGTAAAGTCAATTAAAATTAGAACAGAAAGTAAGCATATCTTGTTGTTATAGTATCATGGTGCAACAGTACAATTCATCAAACATTTTGTGTATAAATCAGTATCATTAGGATCTTATAACGTTATTTTCGCAAATTCCCTGCTTCATCAGAGATCCGGGAAAGATACAAATTCATACACAGATGATCGACGAATGTCACTGCTTGTTTCGCACGAGTCGTGGAAGCTACAAGAGATGCCACCTATTGTGGTAACGATGAACGAAACAAAATTTAACAAAATCGATTTTTATTCTTTAGATATTATTATATTCTAAAGATTGAAATACCTGATCTTTTATTTTTGGAAAAAAATTGGGAATAGGTAAATTTAAAACAAGATATTAATAAAAGCTTTTTATTTATTCATGTGTTGACATATCGACAGGTATTTCATGTCTTTATTAAAACTATATTAATAAATATAAGTCAATAAATTTGAAACACCAAAGTATCTACACTTTTACTTAAAAATCTAAAGTCTTCGTTAGTTAAAGAGAGCTTCTCTTGTACCTAATCCTTTTCTGAATCCCATCTGTGCATCGTTAATATCGGTATCTAACTTTTGATAGATTCGGTTATGGATGACTCCAAGAAATATTTTAAGCAGCTGACTCAAGGAGATTGTTCGATGATCTAAACATTGCATTGCCTTAGTTTTCTTCGCTATGGTGACAAACGTAGATAGCAACCATTCTTGAGGTATTATACCAGTACTGTATATAGTATTGAATATATGTAATATTATGGTTACGGATTTATCATTCAAAAGCTTCAACAGTTGTGTAGGAATTTTATCAGATCCATTTGCTTTTCCATTTTTAGCGTTTCTTATTGCGTATTCTACTTCTTCTTTCAATATGTCTGGCCTAGTTGCATTGATTATCTGAGTTAAGTTGTTTCTATCGTCTTCAAATAATTCATTCAGGTATTCTGTCCATCTTTTTATTTTATTCTCTAGATCTACAATAAGAGTTCCATATTTGTCCTTAAGTTTACCTATTTGGCATTTCTTTATGCTTCCTGTTATCTCTTTTACTTTTTTTGTGCATATTGAACGCATCGTACTTTTTCTCATAGGTTTCCATTTCTTCACACTGTTCTTTAATCCACTCCTCTTTGGCTTCTTTTATTCTCTTTTTATGTGTTTATTTATTTCTTTGTATTTGTCTGGGTAATTCTTCATCATTCTTCTTTGTTTCATCTAATCTAGTATATCTTGTGTCATCAACCCCTTATTCTTTGTTGTTGTCTTTGTAAGATGTTTCTTTCCTGCTGTTTGTATAGCTGTATTTATGTACTTTAATTTTTGGTTAACGTTATTTGTATCGTTAATTTGTTGCTGCACTGAACGGAGGTTTTCATTTATTTCTTCTCCTGTTTTTTGTCGTATATTTTTGTTTCTAAGTTTATTTAAATCTAGTGCCTTTCTGTGTGGTCTTCTAATCTTTTTTGGCCTCTCCTCTATTACAGTAACTACCGGGTTATAATCTGGGCCTATATCAGCTCCTGATAACAGCATTAAGATACCTCCTTGCTACCATAATGTAGTCTATCTGATTTCTCACTATTTTTTCTTTGGTATGTTGTGGAGATGTCCATGTATATAACCGTCGAGGAGGTAATTTGAAAAAGCTATTTGTTATAAGGAAGTCTTCACTTTGGCAAAATTTAATCTCGTCTGTCATGTCTGTTTCCAAGCCCATATTTATCTACTTGTTCTCCTACCTTACCTTAACCCACCTTGGCATCAAGATCGCCCATTATTATGTTAATGTGTTGTTTTGATTGTTTTCAGTATTTCTTCTAAATCGTTGTAGAATTGTTCTATTTCATTTATTTGCTATTGGTGCATAGACTTGAATAAGATTTATTATATTATGTCTTTCTTTAATTTGTATTAATATTAAGCGCTCTGAATAAAGAGTACAGGTAATTAGAGAATTTTTCCATTGCCTTGAAATGATGATTCCAACTTCGTAACGATGGACGTTGTTGTCGATTCCGGAGTAATAAAATACGCCATCATTTCGTGTTGAACATTTCTCAGATCCTGGCCATTGGGTATCGCTGATTCCTTAAACATCGATGTTTAGTCTATTCATTTCTTGTTCAACATTATCCAGTTTTCCTACTGAAAACAAACTTTTAACATTCCACATTGCAACTCTTAAAGTTGTTGGTTTCTGCGCTCTTGTACAAGGCTTTCGCATGTTTACGACCAAGTGAGTCTTGTAGTCTTATGTTTTTCTCACTCTGCCGAACCTTGGTATCCTATTCCCATGATCAGTAGGGTTTCCAGTGGTTCCCCGTTGCCTTCTGCATCCTTCTGCCGTTGACCATCCTTGGTTCATCCTCCTTCAAGACCGATTTCTCGATCACTGGACAAAAGAGTGCCCTTCCACATACTAGCTCCTCCGCCCGAAGCCGTTGGCCAGTAAATGGTGGGATCGCTTATACCGGCAATCATTCGGTGACTTACCTGTTGGTCCACGGGAGGTATTTTATTTCCCTCCTACCCACCGGTAAACCGGGTCGGGCATTCTCCTATCCGCCACCTGGGGACGCGCTCTGTAGGGGTTACAGGTTCCCCCGAGAGATCTAAAGTTTGGTGAATATTTATTATCAAATAAGGAATTTCAGATCAATTCTTCGCAGTATTTCACATTTGAAATCAAATAAGATTAACCATGCGTATCTCTAAATTCAGATCAACACCGAGTTTTTATTGCACTAAGATTTTAACTATTAACCCAAATCCACAGAAAAGGTATGCAACAGAAAAATATTCCTGATCTATTATTAACGAAGGATTCTTTTTATGGTGACAAGAAAAAGATTTCACATGTTAAGTATTAGGTATCAATTAAATGTAATATTAAAATGTTTTAGCGTTGTTTTCGTTATATAATGAGGATGCTGAAGTTTGGGGCGATGTGGATGATGATAATACGAACGTAAACTGTAACTGTAAACCAACCTGTTCTGATATCTCATATGGGACTGAATTATCGTATAATAGTCTTATATTACAGATTTTAAACAACACTTTAAGAGAAGAAATGGATTTTGAAAAGTAAGCATTGTATATTTATTTACTTTAAGATATTCTACTAATGAAGGCTGCGGAAAGTCTACCACATTTCAATTATTTCTAAACCATAAAAGCTAAATTAATAAATTTTTAATTAATTGAGATAATATACAGTATTGTGCGAATTAATGGAATCGCTGTGAATTTTTTTCATTTTTTCAATATTTACAGTTGGCAACATTACCTATACAGTTGACAGCTGACCAAGCATTGAAAACATAACCTTACTGTGTGTTGGTGTGTTTGAGTGTGTTTTAGGTCTTTTCTTACCAAGCTTGTGTTGTTTTGGGGGTTTTTGTACTATTTTGTGTTGTTTTTGGTTTTATTCCAACATGGATATTACGCCTAGGAAGCGTGAAAATATTGTCACGTTGAGTGAATACACTAGTATGTCACAAAGAGAGATTGCTAGAACGTGTGGAGTGAGTCAGGGGGTAGTAAGCAAAATTTTAAAGCGTAAACGAGAAATGGGATCAGTGGATGTGAAAAGGTTAGGAAAATGTGGAAGAAAGAGAAAAACAACACCAGCAGATGATAGATTTTTACTTCGAAAGAGCAAATTGGACACAAGAAAATCAAGCCAAGACCTACTACAAGATCTCGCAGCAACAGCTATAGTGATTCATGACTCAACTGTTCGTAGAAGACTTTTGGAGAATGGTAGAAGGGCAATTCGTCCACAGAAAAAACAGCTTCTAACTGAACAAATGAAGAAACAAAGGCTACTGTGGACCAAAAAATACTCTAATTGGACTGTAGGCGACTGGAAAAAAGTCCTATTTACAGACGAAACCCACTTTATAGTTCAGGGACAGCGGTCTAAATTCGTCAGGAGTCTGACAATGAAAAGCTTACACCATCTCATATTGATCAAACCGTAAAACATCCAGTCAAGAAAATGTTTTGGGGATGTTTTTCATACATGGGAGTTGGATCTTTGGTGCCAATTGAAGGCATGATAAACAGCCAAAAATACAAATCCATGTTGGAAAAGTATTTGGACAAACAACTCCAAAAATGTCAACCGCAAGGAGGAGCGATTCTTCAACAGGACTCTGCTCCCTGTCACAAATCAAAGGAAATGATGGCATTTTTCAAAAAAAGAAGATTAATGTTTTAGATTGGCCCGTAATTCGCCCGACCTCAACCCCATTGAAAATTTATGGGCCATTTGCAAAGCTAGACTGCGAAAAATCGACTGTACCACTAAAACAAAAATGATAGAAGAGGCCATTCAGGTTTGGTATCGAGATGAAAGTATATCTGACAACTGCCAGAAACTCATAGAATCTATGCCAAAACGGGTAAAAGCAGTAATTGCTGCCAAAGGGGGACGTATTTCCTACTGAATGATGTAAGTTTACCTTATAGTTTTGTCAAAATATAATTTTTTACTAAATAAACTGTTTTTTCATTAAAACGGCCTATGATTCCAATAATTCGCACAATACTGTACCTGTACATCAGCATTTCTTAACTTTTCAATATTAGGGGCTAAATTTTTAATTACAATTTTCGGCACTCCCGCTAACTTTCTTCCTCAAGTAACAATAAAATAAATAAAAATTTGAAAATATTGACTCTATTAACCCCCTTAGTACAACGTGTTCCTAGTGTCCTAGACACTATGCCTGGAGCCTATTATTGAACTTAATTACAGACCTTTACAACAGTAACAAAGTTACTGAGATTAGATGAATTTATTGAAACGCTCCACTATATCCCATATGGATAAACCGTGTGCCATATTAACAATAGATACTTTATCAAAGAGTCTCTGGAAGTCTTACAAATTGTTGACTATTATAGCTACTTTGTCAACATATCTAATGTGTTGACGTAATGTGTACAGTGATTTATTTTATAGTTGACGCCGCCTCTTATGTCGCCTCAAACAACCTTTGTGTGTTATACATATAGTAAGTTGTTTAAGGCCTCTGCATGTCTGTTTGATTGATTTCCATTTTAGAGTGTTTAGGCCCTCCCCTTTTTCATCTCTTAAGTCGTGTGTATTTCCAAACATCCTTTAGTCATCTCAGACTGCTTATTCGCTATAAATATCCGAACCAATTTAGTCGCTTAGCTTCAATAATGTCTATACTATTTTTTTATGCTCTTCCCCGTATTCGCATTGCCGAATATAAGCCTCTCCGAATTCTCGCCATTCATCTCTGTTGTTTGTAAGACGTTTCCACATTGGTCCTGCAATTCTTTTAATATCGTCGTTCCAGTGCATTTGCGGTCTTCCTCGTGGTCTTTTGGCTTCATATGGCCCTCAATTCCAGATTTCTTTATTCCATCCCTAAGACATTTGTTATGTCCAGCCCATTTTCATTTCAGTTTAGCTGCCTGTTCGACAGCATCTTTTACTTTTGTTCTATTACGAATGTCTTCATTGGTTTTATGGTCTTTGAGTGAGATACCCAGCATCTGTCGTTCTATAGCTCTCTGAGTTTTTCTGATCTCCATGTATATTTTAGTGAATGTCCAAGTTTGAGCTCCATATGTAAGTACAGGTAGGATACAGGAATTAACCACTTTGGTTGGCAGTCCTTGAGGTATATTTTTGGTTTTTAAGTACGTATGAGAGTCTTCCGAATGCTGGCCATCCCATTTTTACACGCCTGCTTATTTCGGTAGTTTGATTTTCTTCGCTTACCTTAACATTTTGATCCAGATATTATATTCATATACGTGTTCTATATCCGTCCTTTGATATCGAAATAAACAGACTGCGCTCCAGATATCTTCCATTGCTAAGAGCCAACTCCTTACATCAGGAACATTTCAACCTGACCAAAGCTTTGAGAACACAATGGGAGAGCGACTCACCACAGGAAGCACATCAAATTGCCTGTATCGATCAGAAACCGCCAGGCTTTGAACTGACCCGCAATACATGGACAACGCTAAACAGAATAAGAACAAGCAGAGGTAGATGTGCTGACAGCTTATATAGATGGGGAAAAGCCCTTAATCCTGAGTGTGACTGTGGTGCGCAACGACAGACCGTCCGTCACATTGTTGAAGAATGTCCCCGAAGGCGATTCCCTGGAGTTTTCGATGAGTTCCTGAATGCGACCAAAATATTTTACATTATATTAATAATACATTAGATGTTCGTTTGTAATACTTCATGTAACGTTTTATATTGATATTTTAATTGTGTGTTCTTATTGTATGCCATACAATAAATAAATAAATAAATCTCCGTCCTTTCGATGTTTATCATAGGTTTGTCATCTTTGTTTGACATTAGTTTAGTTTTGCTGAAATTGTGCATTCCACGTGCCGGCTATTAGTACTACATCATCTGCGTATCTAAGATGGTTCAAATATCTTCCGTTAATAGGAGTTTCCTTATTTTCCCAGACTATTGACTTCTAGGTCAGACAAATGATATCTTCTGGGGCAGCTGTAAATAATTTTGAAGATATTGTGTCTCCTTGTCTTACTCTCCGGTTGATTTTTACTGGTCTTGTTTCGATTCCATTACCCAACATCACTATCATTTCAGCTTGTTCCTAAATATTATGTATTAATATTCTGTATCTGGAGTCGATCCGATTGTTGACTAATTCTTCTTCTATTGCCCAGAGTTCTATGTTATCAAAAGCTTTTTCATAACCTATAAAAGCCAGACATAATGGAAGACTATATTCGTTAGTCTTTTCCATTAGTGATTTTCAAAGTCTATAAATGGTCATAGGTGCTGTACTTTTTTTTTGTAAATCCGGCTTGTTCTGCTGGTTAATATTTGTCAAATTTAATTGTTAACCAGTTTAAAATAATCTTTGTAAAGGTTTTGTAAAGTTGTGAAAAAAGTGAAATTGGTCGATACGTTTTCAGGTCTATGGTGTCTTCCTTTTTGTGTATTAGTATTGTTTTAGCAGTATTCCATTGTTCAGGTATGTTGCCTTGGAATATACATTTATTAAATAGTATTTTTAGACACGCGATGGCTTCTTCTCCGCCTTCTTTCAGCATTTCTGCTAGGATTCCAACGCTTCAAGGAGTTTGTTTCTTTTTATTCCTTTTACTGCTCTTTTTATTTCTTCGCGGCTTATTTCGGGTATCACTTCTGAGTTGACATTTGTTATCTGCCTTTTCAAGTTCTGCTTTGAGGAGTTAGTTCTGACGCCGTATTTATTACTGTTACATCCTGTATGATATCTGTTTTGTTACACAGTATGTAATCTATTTCGTTCCGAGTTTTTCCGCCTGAGATAGCCACGTCCACTTTCTTTGAGGTTTTTTCTTATATAATGTGTTCATTGCTTAGTATTTGTGAGCTTGTAGGAAATAGAGTTTCTTCTCTCTTATTTCTAACTCCAGAGCGAATCGTCCTATATATTTTTCGGTTTTTTAAATCGTTGTCCGATCATAGCGTTAAAGTCTCCTATTATCATCATATACGTGTTATGATAATTCGTGCTAGTTTCTGTAATTTTCTCACAAAATTCTTTTTCTATCTATTCATCGGGATGTGCTGCGGTTGGAGCGTATACTTGAATAATTTTCAGGGAGATGTTCTCATTTACATTTAACCTAACCATTACAATTCTTTCAGATATTCCTACGAATTGCTCTACTTTATGTGCATATTCTTGGAAATTAGAAATCCTACGCCATCCAGGCTTTGTTCTTCTCGCCCTTTGTAATATAGGGCGTTATTACCGGACTCTAGTCTTATTCACTCTTTCCCTTTTCTTTTTACCTCTACTAGACCAATTATGTCCCTTTTTAAGTCCTTGATGTCTTCTTGGAGTTCGTAGACTTTTTCATTTTTGCTTAAGGACCATATATTTAGAGTTGCGATTTTCAATCGTGTGGTTTTTAGCGATTTCTTGCTTTTCCCAGATTCCATGAGTTGTCCTTTTTTCCAAAGGAGTGGGATTTGCCATTACTGTATGGCCTACCCACCTGGGGACCTATTCCTTTTGTTTTAGATATCGCCATATTCCTGTTAGGAGGATTTTTAGCCTTAAAACACCACGCTAGCTAGACGGGTTGGTAAGTGATTTTATAAAATTCCCTAAAATTAAGGGATTGCCACTTCTGCCATTCACACCGTACTGAAGGTATTCTTCTCCGTCGTGGTTGCCGTTGTGGACTTCATCCGTAATCCTGGAACACGGGACCCTAAGCAGGTATGTACTAGTTTCCCGAGTCAGGAAATACCTGGAATCTGCGGAGGGCAGGGATTGATTCATTTTCCCTGATAGAACTATCCAAAGGAGTTCCTACCCTCTACCCGTCTATACTATACCGATCCCCACTTCCAAGCGGAGTGTTTTTACTAAATATAATTTATGTAGTGAGTTGTCTGTTGTTTAGCGAACAATTGGTTTTGTTGCAGCGATGAACGTATGAAAAAGATAACAATTATTGTTAAAATACCTGCTAGCAGAAAAAAGAGGACGAAGAAATGTTAAGTGTTTCTAGATCAGAAAAACATGCAATATTTAAAAGAAGACAAGAAGAAGAATACTTAAAAATTTTGATAAACAAAACTTTATTATGAGATGATGTTAAGTTTCCACAGTTCTTTCGTTTAAATGAACTTCAGTTTGATTTTGTGTTAAATTTAGTAAAAAAGTACCAAACTGTACCTTATGATATTCACATTTCTCATGCTGACGATCTCATTTCATTCTTCTTTTTATGCTAGCAAGTCTTTGTAAATTTTGCAACTCCATTATTCTCGTTTGCTGCGTCGCTTGTCCAGCAAGACTGCTAGATGCATAGCTCAACAAATATATTTGTCTATTTTTCTTGGTATCTCATATATCCTGATATCCTAATTTATTGGTAATAGTTCATAATCATTTTTACATTATGGCATAAATACATTAAACAACTAATAAAATAATTTTTGTTTCAGTGTAAATTATTCAATTCTAATGCTATATTTCGATAAAAGCTATGTTGAGACGAAAGAAAGAAATGAGTTATATGGATTTACCGATTTTGTTTCCAACTTTGGCGGCCTTTTGGGATTATTTACTGGATTTTCTATATTGTCGTGTATAGAAATAATTTATTTCTGTTCATTGAGACTTTGGCGAAATGTATATCAATAATAATAGAACAATCAATAGAAAATTTTAAAGTACAAAATTTAGTTATATTGATTTGTATTAAAGCTAAATAATTTTACTATATATGTTGCGTTTTATTTTAATTTTAACTCAAATGCTCTAATAAAAATAATGATTGGATGGGTTTAAAACTGAAACAGAATCAGAATATTAACACCATCCAGTACTGACAGGAGAAAGAATGAGTCATAACAAATACATACTACGACCTACCCTCACGAAGATTATGCACGTGGACTTCTCCAAAAGATAACACCAATAATATAATCATAAACTATAGATTTTATAAGGATTAACAAAAAGTGTCATAATGGAGTGCAAAACCCTATCCAAGCGCAGACGCAGATACGGACCATAATCTATTACTAGCAAAGGTCAACAATAAATGCAGACAACCGGTGAAAAAAGTAAAACCACCAAAATAAACATCAAAACCCTAAAAGACGACTACTGTCAAGAGCAACTAAATGCAGAGATAAATAAATTAACTAAAGGAAGCGTGGAATGGACAGATATGAAAAAAGCCATACTAAAAGCGAGAAAAGAGACCCTAGGCGAAGAAGAGAAAACCACTAAAAAAGACTGGATAACACCGGAAATAGTTAAGCTAATAACTGAAAAAAGAAAATACAAAAATAAGATGGAAATAAATATAAAACCATCAAGAATAAAATCAAATATGAAATCAGAAAGACTAAGCGGAATGGATGATCAAGGAATGCCAGGAACTGAAAGAACTCAGCAACAAACATGACACCTCAAACTTACATAAAAAAGAACGAACTTACAGGCAACACCAGACAAAGATAAATACTCATAACAAGAGATAATAATGGAGGAACACTTACTGAAGAGACAAAAATAAAGGAAGTGTGGAAACAATATATAATCCATCTGTTCCATGACGAGAGGGAAAATGAACAATATGTAGGTGAAGAAGAACAATACCTACAAATTTTACCATCAGAAGTAAAACATGCCCTACAGAATGCAAAACAAGGAAAAGCACCGGGTCCTGATCAAATTCCAGTTAAACTGTTAAAAGCCTTCTTCTTCTTAGAGTGCCGTCTCCCTACGGAGGTTGGCAATCATAATGGCTATTTTTATTTTAGAACTTGCTACTCTAAACAAATCAATCGATCTGCATTGGTACCAATCACGTAGATTCTTTAACCATGAGTTCTGCCTTCGGCCAACAGATCTTCTTCCTTGAATCTTTCCCTGTATTATCAGTCTAAAAATTTCATATTTTGGTCCCCTCATCACGTGGCCTAGGTATTCCAGTTTTCTGGTTTGTATAGTGGTGATTAATTCTGTTTCTTTACCAACCCTCTCCAGTACTTCTTTATTTGTAATTCTAAAAGCCTTAGATGACGGTAATATAAAGATACTCACCCGAATTCTCAACCACATATATGTAGAGGGCAACATCCCGGATGAATGGCTTAAATCGATATGTTTACCTCTACCAAAAAACAACAATCCCAAATCATGTTATTTGGGAAAAAATATTTCAAAAGAAACTTGGTCAATAATAAACGATTTTCGAAATAAAACCAGTACAGCGAATCAAACCTTTTCTTTTCCTAACCCCGAAAATCTAAATGATTACTTTGTTAATGTGAGTAAAAATATAACCTCAACTATTTCGCCACAACAAGATCCAGTTTCCTATCTCTCTAATTCAAAAAACCTTGCTGATACCTTCTTTTTAAGACCAGTTGATAAGACGGAACTCATTTCAACAATTCGTAGTATAAAAAGCACATCGTCCTGTAGTACAGATGGATTATCTATTAAAATTTTCTCAAATCTACCGCATAATGTTTTGGAGAAGGACAGGTTAAAAACCTATAATTCCTTGACCGTTATCATTTGATACATCGTATTTACTGTATTTTTCTGTTACATTTTCATATAAATCCTCTTTTTCTTCTCTAGCATTGCAGTCTTCCATTATTATTTTGATATCAAATGCTAGTAGTCTGTCATATTCTCTCTCTAGTTGCTCATAGTATTCATCTTTGTCTTCTTCGGTGGCGTCTTCCATTGGTGCATGTACATTTATTACGCTTATGTTTCGTTGATTTTCTTTTAACCTGATTGTGCATATTCTATCTGATATCGGATTGAAATTCATCACTCTGGTTTTTCATCTTTTCTGTATGATAAAGTCTGTTCCTAGCAATCTGTTACTCTCCCCACTTTAAAAAAATACTATATCATCTATTTCTGTCTCTAATTGTTTTGTTTCTTGTAAAGCTAATATATCTATTTCATATTTTTTTGTTTATCTAATTAATTCTTTAAGTTTTCCCGTGAGGTGCCTCTTACGTTCCATGTTTCCAAATTAGTTTTCATTTTCTTAATTTTAATCCCAATCGTCACCTTGTCCATTGCTATTATTGCTACCGTTTCATTTACGTCATTTAGTTTTTTGTTTTCTGTTTTGGTTTTCTATTTTTACCAGTTGTTGCTGATGTTTATTCGATGTCCATTCCCCCTCATTTATTTTAATTTTCTTCCAATTTAGCTTCTTTTGCCTTCGTTCTGATTTTACCGTATATCATCCGGTCATTTTTTCTCATCCGTTTATCATCCCGTTTTGTCATCCGTTTATCATTCGATAATTTCTTTTTTGTTATTTGCATTGTCGAGCTCAATCAAGCAGGATTTCCTTCCAATTTTTCTTGCGCTTTTTATTTTTGTCTCAACTTTTAGTGCATTTCATAAAAAATCTTACACTTGCAATTTTTCTTGCGCTTTTTATTTTTGTCTCAACTTTTAGTGCATTGCATAAAAAATCTTAGACGTTATCTTTTGTTATATTTTGGTAGTAGGTATCCATTTCTACTCCCTGCAGTATTATATTATTTCGTCTTTTGTCCTTTTGCATTCTGTATTTTTTATTTTCCAATTCTTCCGACTCTGCCAAATTAACTGAACAATAAAAAAAAACAATAATTTTAAATAGATACTTTTATTAAAATAAAACAATTTAAGAAATTAGGTGACTAAAAAATAAGCAAAATGTACATATTAAAATAAATATATTAAACTTGTATTTATCTTTAAATCTTAATTTTAATTAGTTATCTTTGCCTGCCCAATATCCATACATTCTTCTATTAAATATTATTCTGAGTGACAGGAAGTAAACAATTTCCATCAAAGAAAGAAGGGAGAATCCTGTGAAAAGACCTAATAATCCTCCAAAATTAGCCAGGAAATCTAGCGGTCCATACAGTTCGTTTCTTTCGGAAAATATGAAATCCGATCTTTTAAAAAATACGACTAACTTTGATGATGCCATACTGAAATATAAATAGAGACATATATTCATTTATTTACAAATAGGTATAAATATTAAATATTTGTGAATGTCATGTCTTCTTATATGAGTTATACATTTCGAAGTAAAAATAAAGAAATTATATATAAATATATATATATATATATATATATATATATATATATTATATATATATATATATATATATATATATATATATATAATCGGTTTAAAACGTCCTCCGACGTCTTCCGATGCCCAATCTTCATGCATCTCTATCTTCCCAAAGATACTTCGTCTAAACCTCTCTCTCGGATCTCTCTGTCTATTCCTTCTCTCCAGCTCTTTCTGGGTCGGGCCTCTTTTTCTCTTTCCATGGGGTGACCAATCTATAATCTGTTTGGGCAGACGATGTTCTGGCATTCTCTGCACATGTCCATACCACTTTAGTTGTTGTACTCTTATATCTTCGACAATCGTATGTGTGACTCCCATAACCTCTCGTATACGTTCGTTATTAATTCTTTCGAGTTTTGATTTTCCTGCGGCCCGTCTCCAGTAGTCCATCTCCGTGGCTTGTAGTGTTCTTTCAGTAGTTGCCTTTAACTGCCCACACGTCACTTCCATACATTACTATGCTCTTTATAATAATGTTGTATATTCGATGTTTATTTTTTTTGGATATATGTGAATCCCAGATAATACTATTTAGTTGAGATATGGCCCTTCTACCCTGAGTGTTTCGTTTTTTTATAGCCTGATCTGATTTGCCGTCGTCTGTGATTTCTACTCCTAAATAGGAATATTTATTGTTGTACTTAATGTGTTGTCCGTCGTTTAAAACTAGATTTTGTTCTTTTCCACCGATGTTCATGTACATTGTTTTATCTATGTTGACTTCTAATCCCCATTTTGTGTATTCTTCGATTAATTTTCGAGTCATGTATTCTAGGTCGTCATATTCGTTAGCAATCACAATTTGATCATCAGCAAAACATAGAGTGTACAGGTTGTTATTGTTTTAATTGTATACCCATGCTGCTGCATTTCCGCTTCCAGAGTTTTAATGCTTGTTTCAGATATATTTTGAAAAGTCTCGGCGCTAAGCAGCATCCCTGATTCAGTCCTTTGTCTACTACAAAACCTTTGGAAACATTCCTATTTTAACTTTGGCGTTGGCGTTCTCATATAGTTTTTTCCACTGCTGTTATGAGATTTGAGTTGATGTTCGTTTGTCTGAGAGTGTTCCATAACTTATTTTGAGGAAAGCTATCGTAAGCCTTTTTTAGATCAACAAACAAAAAGTGGACTTCTTGATCTACAGCAACCTTTTTTTCTATAAGTTGGGTGATACAAAAAAGGTGGTCTATGGTCGATCTATCAGCTCTAAAACCCGCCTGTTCTTCTGCCTCAATATCAGTGTATTCTCTTTCTATTCTATTTTTGATCATTTTCCCATAGATTTTACTAATTGTACTAGTAAACTGCTATTCCACGGTAATTGTCGCAATTTTGTTTGTTTCCCTTTTTATGTACAGTTGAAATGGTTGAGGTTTTAAATTCGGCTGGAACCTCTACTTTGTTTATGCAGTTTCTTAATGCACGATTAGAAGATTTAAAGAAATTTATGCAGTTTATTAATGCACAATAAAAATCAAGAATGAAGTTTTCCAAACAGTCAAATCCAGTAAAAATCACTTAACAGTCTCTGCTGATTTTAATCTTCCATATTATTCATTCTATTAGTATTTTTCAATATTAATACTAACAAACTAACCCCATACAACATCCAATCGATGGCTTAAGATGAAAAGGTCTACGAATTAGAAGAACTATCCAAGATAAAGTGGAATATTGTAGGACTGTCAGAAGTGAAAAGAAGAGGCGAACAATGCATGCATCTAAACTCTGGAAATCACCTATACTATACAGGTGAAAGTAGACGAAACATATGGTAGAGTAGGATTTCTTGTTAAGAAGTATCCCACACCATACATTTCTATATATTAAAGCCTTTCTGATAGAGTAGCTTATATTATGATAAACCTAGATAATAAAACCAAGATCAAGGTTATACAAGTGTATGCTCCCACAACAACACATCAGGAAGAAAGTTGAAATGTTCTACACGAAGATTTGATAAATAGCATTAGGAAGAAAATGATACAAAGTATAGCAATCATTATAGGAGATTTCAACGCAAAAATTAGGTAAAAAAAGAAAGAAAGTACTGAAACTAAAATAGGGCATGCATCGTTATGGCACTAGCGAGATGAAAGAGGAGAAAAATTGTATAACTTCTTATAACAACAAAATTTATATGCCATGAACACACACTTCAAGAAACCAGTAAACCGAAAATGGACGTGGATATCTTCCGATAAAAAGACGAAAAACGAGATCGATTACTTCTTGTGTGGGAACAAAGACATTTTTGAAGATATATAATATGCTCTTAATCGATTCACAACTGGCAGCGATCATCGCCTTTTAAGAGCAAGGATGGAGACGAAAGCCAGTAGAAACAGGCAACATAATTAAGAAAAGAATTTGTAGAACATTATCAACCAGAATACTCCGACATGAACACAATAAATAAAGAAATGCAATGAAAGCTTTTGAAAGCAGTACTGATGGTTGCAAAGAAAACGAAAAATAAAGAAGACAGAATAAGTGATGGAAGAAAACGGTTGATGAAAAAGAGAAGCACATTTCTAAGCGAAGAAAAGCGAAACACCGATGGTTTCAAAGAATTGAATAAACAAATAAAGAAGGGAGTAAAGGAAGATTTAAGGATCTACAATGAAAACAAGGTAGAAAAAATAATAAAAAAGAACCGATGCCTGAAATACTTCAGATCAAACTTAGGAAAGCCTATAATCTTATTGAAAGATATAGATAAAAAAAAAATAAAAAAAAAAACGAAATCCTAAAAGTTACTCAAACATTTTACCGTGATTTATATTCCTCAAACAAGAACCCAGATAATACTGTAAAGGAAGATCTTAAGAGAAAGATAACGAATGTCAGAAATATTTCCTAACATAGAATACTTTTAAATAAAACAAGCTATGGCACAACTTAAGAACAGTAAGGCCACGGGACCAGACGAAATACTTGTAGAAATATTGAAGGAGGGGAGTGAAATTATTCTCGTAGAATTGAAAAATGTTTTCAACAAATGTTTTCACAAAGGAGAAGTCCCAGATAATAGGAACTTTGGGCAATAGAGAGAGCTATGAACAACTGCGGGACAGACTCCCGATACAGAATGCTCATACATAATATTTACAAGAAAGTCATAATGAAAATACAAACAGATGCAAAAACCAAAGCTATATCATTCAACAGAGGACTTCGACAAGGAGATATTATCTTACCAAAGCTATTCACACTTGGACTGGAAGACGTGTTCAAAGACATAAACTGGGCAGATTTTTAGGTAGTGATATATGAAATATTGACATACCTTCCTCTCGATGAGGGCATCAGAAAGAAAGGCGCTTGGACAGGATTGCATTCCTGAAGTAGACCTGTCCTCTATCAGGATCATAAAGGAGATTCTACCAGCTTCTATTGTAACAAAATAATGCTACAAGCAAAATAAATGGACTTGTGGAGCAGAAAAGGCAAGTCTATGATAAAGAGTCTAGCCTAACCTAACCTAACCTAACCTAACCTAACCTAACCTAACCTAACCTAACAAATACAACAATCAAAGAGATAATGGAAGTAAGACAAGTAATAAATAAAACAAAAAAATTTTGATTTAAACAGCAGATTTTAAAAAATAAAGCTCAGTTTTTTGGGCAAATACTTACAGAGATTGATCCAATGTGAATGTATCCGAGCTATTTTCCATAGGGGCAAATAAAGCTGATACCCAGTCCCATTCGCATTGTGAAGACTCAGTATTATATGACAGATCAGAGCACATAGGCAAACAATTACAATCCAGTTTTTTACGTAGACTCAAAAGTTGTAGTTTTGATTCAGCTTCTTTCATACACATCTGTTTAGCCCAACCACATATTTTCGTTGAGTTTTCACCTGTAAATATAAATAACTATGTTTGTAAAGTATAAAATATTGTTTATCTATTGTAATCTGATTCTGATAAAATCAATCAAAAGAGAACATTGGGCCAAATTCATTTGCGACATGGACTACGACTTATATGGTGCCCAAAAGAAAGTATGGAAAATGCTCCGCAACTGGAAAAAACCAGTTAACGAGTTCGTGCAGAACAAAGGAGTACCTATAGAGTATGGCAACAGCATTTTAAAGAGCTATATAGTGCTGAAGAAACGCTGAATTAAACGAAGGCGAAACAGATGTGAGTGCTACAATCAATGACGAAGAAGTAGAAGCAAAGATCAAAAAGCTAAAAAACAGAAAATCACAGGGAACGGATGGTATACCCAATGAACTTTTAAAATATGAGGCCCGGAACTTGCAAGTAAACTGGCACAACTATTTAACAAAATATTAAACAAAACAGAAACACCAGAGGAATGGCATAATAGTATCACAATCCCCATATTTAAAAAAGGATAAAAAACCTGCCACAAAAACTATAGAGGAATAACCCTCTTAAATACAAAAATGAAACTTTTCACGGGTATTCTCAAGGACAAATTGGAAAAGCAAATCACTAAATGCTGAAGAACAACAAGGTTTTACAAAAGGGCGGTCTATAACAGACGCAGTATTTATAATAAAACAAATAAAAGAAAAAGCTATAGAGTTCGGCATGCCAGCGTATATTTGCTTGTAGGAAGTGGAAAAAATGCGAGCAAATTCAGGGAGACTGAAAAAGGGAAGATAAACAAGTATCCCGGTCAAACATTTAAAAAGTAGAAAACATATTGAAAAATTCGAATCAGACTCACTACACAGCAAGAGGTAAATTAATAAAAGCTAAAAACCTTTTTAGATTTTTGACTGCAATTGTTCTCTAAAATGTAAAGATAAGATGTGTCGCCGATATTAGACAAAATATTTTTAAACAATTTTCATCATCATCATCATCATCAATCAGCCAATCGCGTCCACTGCTGGACATAGGCCCCCTCAGTTCTTTCCAGTGTTCTCATACACTGGGCCGCTTGTAGCCAGTTTCCCGCTACACGTTTAATGTCATCGGTCCATCTAGTCGGTGGTCGTCCTCGGCTTCTTTTATAATTTCTGGGCCTCCATTCCATAATACGTCTTGTCCACCGTCCATCTTGTGTTCTGGCTAAGTGCCCTGCCCAGTTCCACTTAAGCGTCGTGGTTCTTTCAATGATGTCTGGAACTCCTGATCTTCGCCTGATTTGTTGGTTTGTTATGTGGTCTCGAAGGCTCACGTTCAGCATTGCACGTTCCATGGCTCGTTGTGTAACTCTAAGTTTATTCGCAGACTTTTGCGTGAGTGTTAAAGTCTCTGCTCCATAAGTTTGTACAGGTAAAACACATTGGTTATAAACCTTTCGCTTGAGACACATGGAATTGAACTTTTTAGAATATGGCTTAATTTGCCAAATGCTGCCCATGTTAGACCTATTCGCCTCTGTATTTCATGTGTTTGATTGTCTCTGCTTATTTTGATTTCGTGTCCCAGATATTTGTAAGTGTCTGTTTGTTGTATGGTATTATTGTCAATAGTTATATTTCCACTCATTTACGAGATTTGTTATAATTTTAGTTTTCTCAAAGTTTATCTTTAATCCTGCTCTTTCAGACAGACTTTTAAGCGAATGCATCATAGAAACTGTATCATGTAAGTTATCTGCGATTAATACAACATCAACTGCAAACCTTAGGTGATTTAATCTTTCTCATCTATATTGATGCCCATATTTTGCCATTGAGTACCCTTAAATATTGACTCTAGAGCTGCCGTGAACAATTTTGGTGAAATATTGTCTCCTTGTCTAACTCCTCGACCTAAGCTGAATTTTTCTGTGTCTTCGTGCAGTCGTATACTTGATGTAGCGTTCTGATAGATGGTTTTGATTAGTGTCGTGTACCTGTAATCTATTCGGCTTTGATTTAGGGCTTCCAGTATTGTTTCAAACTCTACAGAATCAAAAAGCCTTCTCGTAATCGACAAATGCAAGAACCAGTCTTTTGGAATCGTACCCGCGCATGTAAGCATTTAGTAAACAGTTCGCTTACTGATTTTAATAAAATTTCTCCACCTGCTTTTATTGCCGCGATAACGAGTCCATCATCACCAGGCGATCGATGGTTCTTCATTTCCTTTAAAGCTGCTCTTACTTCTGACACAGTAAATGGGTAAAAGTATTTCCAATCCCTGATTTATGAGAGTCTTTTACTCGTGTCGGGAAATTGTCTTGTGGTCTTTGGCTGGTATAGGAGGTCTTCATAAAATTCTCTAGTTATTTTCAGAATGTTTGTTTATCTGTTGTTGCCTTTCCGTCTTTATCTCTCAGCTTGTATATGTCTTTTTTACTTTGCGTAAGTTTTTCTTTTCATTATCTTTAATTCTTTGTTCTCTTCTACTGTTTTGAGTAATTACATTAGTATTGTATCTTCTTACATCTTTTCTAATTTCCGCTGAAATTCTTTTATTTAGTTTTTTATATTCTTCTTTGTTCCCTTTTCGTTCTTAGGTTTCGTCGTAATTCCATGAGAGCCCTTGTATCTTTGCTAATCTTTGCACTTTTGGTGTCCTTTTTCTTGCAAAAATTTGAGTTGTTAAACAATTTTGGGCTTTGCAAACTTATGAAAGTCAGAATAATTTTATAGCTGCTTCAGTTAGACAGCAAGGTATCAAAAGAAAAAGGAACAAGGAAAGTAACTTAAGAACGTTTTCTCGCGTATCATTTAGATAATAACATTGTATGTAGAAATATGTTTATCAAATCATTACAAATCTCTACAAAAAGAGTTGATACTGCTCTAAAAAAAAATTCTATGCTGGAATTGTTAAGAGACGGAAGAGGTAATTCTAAAAATGGTAGTAAAAATAAAAGACTACCTGATAAAATTAAAAAAAGTGTAATTGAAGGCATTAGTTCTTTTCCAACTTATGCTCCCACTACAGCAGGGGTGAAACTGAAGCTAAATACTTGGCCTTTTCGATTTAACTCTTAATAAAATGTACAACCTTTTTTTGGAAGACCAAAACTTAAAAATTGCTTTTTCTTCTACCTACAAAAAAATTTTTTAAACGAAAATTTCAATCTAAAAAGGAAAGCACCTATCAAAGATATATGCAACACTTGAGATCATTAAAAACAAAAATAAAAAGTTGTCAAAATGACCCTGAGTTATTGAGCAATACCAATATTTTACGCAACCAACATTTAGAAAAAGCAGAAACATGGCAAGATATGCTATGAAAAATGATTTAGAAAAAGCTAAATCAAGAGAACATGTTAAAACAGAAACACTTACTTATGACATGGAACAAGTAATTGGGCTCCCAAAACTGCCTGCCCAAACATAATCTATTATAAAAAACAGCTTTCTCTTTATAATGAAGGAATTTACGAAGGATCCAATAATCAGCCATATTGTTTTACATGAAAAGAGGGCACCGCTGGGAAGAGAGCACAAGAAGTTGGTTCATGATTGAAAGTTATGATTGATAAGCACCTTTCACTTGAAACTGAAGAGCTAAATTTATGGTTTGATTCTTGCGGTGGTCAGAACCGGAACCTAAAATTGTCCTTTTTCTTAAAAGTTGTACTAGAAACACATAAAACATTGAAAACAATAAATTTTAAATATCTAATGCCTGGCCATAGTTACCTACCCAATGAACTCTAATTTTGCAAAGATTGAAAGTGCTTTAAAAAAACAAATTAGAATCTTACACACTTACAGAGTTTAAGGATGTGATGTAGAATGTTCAAAAAAGCGTAAGTTTATCGTTCACGAAATGGTAAAAAAGGATTTCCTAGGCAGTAAAGAAATACTAACAGAAAAATAATATACTAGGTAAATAAAGTCAGCTGGTTAAAATGCCATAGTAATTAGAATTATTAAAGATCAAACCCTTTTCAATATATTTTTTAAATCAAACTCATGCAAAAGAGGGTCAGTTTCAAGAGGTTTAACATAAAAAAAAGGCTTAAGAGGAAGAAAACCAGAAAATATACGCGCACAATTTTATTTTTTTCTTCAAATTTCGAAACTTTTTATATATCTATATATATATATCGCGGTTTTTTAGGCGTTACGTCGCCTGTCCGGTAGCGGATCTATTCGGAGGGAGTATCAACCGCCAGATCCCAGCATATCCTAGTCTAAGCCGGCAGATTCCATCTAGAATTTTAAACTGCTTGCGTTTAGACGTTTTTATCCAGAAAGGAAATAGCTATTGTCCGGCCAAAACGACTTTAGCTCTGATATAAACAGTTTGACTTTGAATTCGGAGAATCTATATTCTCCTGAATTACCATTTAAGATTACCATTTACCAATTAGATATAGATACCAAGATTAAGAATATATTACGCACATATTATGAGGTTCTTCTGCAAAAGCGCTTTAATTTTGTTGTATTATTGTCAGTATTTTTTAAATAAAAACTAATATTTTTTATTATTTATTAATTTTCTTTTAAACTGTTCATTTTAATTCGCACTTGAGCTATTCATATTACCTTCAAAACTTCCTTTATATTTGGATACAGTAGATTTAGAGGTATCAATTATAAAAATTTTAAGTGGCGATTTTCCTCGAAATATAAAAAGTGGCTTATTGTTTTCCTTTGTAAACGTCCAAGTTTGAGAACCGTTGAGAACAGAAAGTATACATTGGTTGAAGACTCTTGTTTTTAAATATTGGCGGTATTTTTTTATTTTTTAGTATATAGGAAAGTTTTCCGAAGGATACTCTTCTCTTTTACTCTTCTCCTTCTCTTTATTTCTCCGGTCGGATCTGTAATCTGATTATAGTGGATAAATAATTGTAATTCAAAATTTAACTTAAATACATTTATGTCGTTTCGCTTCTTGTTAGGTGGTGTATTCTGCTATAATACTAAGGATAAACATAACTTACGTGGCATATAGAATCCAACGCATCCGCAATATTGCAAAGTAAAATTAGTAAGGCACTCCATTTTGCAATTTAGTAACGTATAGACTCTAAAATATTTAAGATTTCGTTCATATGAGAAATAACATTTGCGCTTTTTCACGTCATAATTAGTCAATGAATTGGAAGTTTTTATCATGATCGGGGAGACTGCTGCCATTACTGCTTGATTATCAGGTATCTGAAATAAAATGCAAATAAACATAATAAAATTGTATTAAAAAAATGCTAAGTATACTTGCTGAAATAATTCGGAAGTTTAATTAATTTTCTTTATGTTATATTTGAGCAACTTACACGAAAATATTCCTGACTAGGCTGTGGTACTCTTGAGGGAAGATGTAGTGATACCTAAAAATTTTAATCACAATTAAATGCTTTAGTATTAAAAAACTACTATTACTAATAGCACTAGCACTACTCACGGCTTTTGTAAAACAAATTTCATGTAAAAAGTTTAAATAATTAATACTTTGGCTGCACCTAATATGAATGTCGCATCAATTACTCATCCGATTAAGAATTGGTAGTAAAATTTGGCGACAACTTACACTAGCTCAACTTAGTGTAGTGGGTAGTAAAGAAACTTAAGTTCTGGTGACAAAATCTTCCCACATAAAAATATCCACAAGGTTACATGGACTGCACCAGGTCATATAAGAGAAAATCAAATAGACTACATCGCCATATCAAAAAGTTGGAGATCATCTCTATTTGATGTACGTAATAAAAGAAGAGCAGACATTGCAAGTGACCGTCGTCCTATAATCGGTAACATTAAAATCAAGATGGCAGAAAACAAAATCACGCGAAACACCAAAAGACGGGCATAAAATCTGGACAAATTGAAAACGGCTCCAGGACGACACATGTTTAGAGCTGAACTCAAACTAAAAAACAAGAGAACGTGAAGTAAATAGCTAGGAAAATTTGGCAAATGTTTTGACAGAAATAGCTGAAGATAAAATGGGTAAAAAAGAGAAACATAGAAAAGAATAGATGTCAAATGAAACTTGGAATTTTATATAGGAAAGAAGACAGTACAGGAAAAATATTTTGCAAGCAAGAACTGAAGAAAAAAGAGCAAACCGACAACAAGAATATGAAACAATAAATAAAGCAGTTAGAAGAAATGTAAGAAGAGTCAAAGGAGATGGTCTCTAGATCTGGCAAAACAAGCTGAAATAGCTGCACAACACAACAGAACTAGAGAGCCATACCAAATTACTAAACGATTAACAAAAAATGGGCCATCTGTTCAAACATTGTAAGATTAAAGACAGCCAAATACTTACTACAACAAATGACCAAGTAGAGAGATAAAAAGAGCAGTTTCAGAAGATGTTCGGCACGCCAGGGAAAACGCAGATAAAATTGTCGAAAACCCGCAGAATGTAGATTTGAGTATATCTTGCGAGGACCCTTCTAAAACAGAGATAATAACAGCTATCAAATCTCTGAGAAATAATAAGTCTCCGGGAATCGATAACATTGCTACCGAAATACCTAAAACTGATCCGCATCTAACTGGTAAACTTTTGCTATCCATAATCCGAGAGGTGTGGGAAACAAAACCGCATTTCAGCAGGCTGGAAAAGGGGTAACATTATTAAGCTTCCAAAAAATGGCAACCTCACACTGTACAATAATTAGAGAGGAATAACTTACCGCAATAAATAAAATCTTCACGTCCATCATCCTTAAAAGATTAACAAACAAAATCGAATTTCGAGCTGGTCAAGCAGGCTTTAGACCATAATGCTCCTGCATAGACCACATTTATACTGTGAGAGTAATAATGGAACAATTTGTTGAATGCAACAGACCCCTGTACATGGTTTTTGTTGACTTCGAGCGTACCTTTGACAGTTTATCTCATGCTGGTTTATTGATTGGTCACACCCTCAGAAAAATAATTCTAGTATTGCAAATATTGCCCTAGAGTAGAAGAAAGAAGAAAAAGAGGTCGCCCAGTACAAACTTGGAGAAGATCCATTATGGACGAGATAAGAGGTCAAGGAAAATCTTACATTGAGTTGAAGGACTTAGCGCAAAATAGAACCCGATGGCGCATTTTCGCTAAAGCTCTATGCTCCACTTACAAGTTCAAGAACCTATATATATATATATATATATATATATATATATATATATATATATAATAATATATATATATAATATATTACATATATACACTCAACGGCAAAATTAACGGAACACCTTAAAATTGGGACATGTTAGATGTCTCGAATTTCCTAAACCTGTTGTTCGATTTTAGTGATTTTTTTAGTATGTTATAGGTATATTATTTAAGAATATCGATGTAATAATATTCTTGCTAGACAGGTCAATGTCATTTTATACCGGTGTAACAATCCTACTGTGTTTTTTTCCTTAAAGTTCGGAACTCCCTGTGGAATATTCTAGCATATATAAAATATTGAAATTAAAACTTAATTATAGCCTCAGGCTTTCTTAACATTTTCTTTTTTGATTCATTTGCTTATGTTTGATAATAAAAAAGTTAGGTACGTTAACAATTAGCCATGTTTTTTATCAATAAATCCTCATTTTCTGCTTAGTTTAAAAACAAGCCTAAAGTAGGCTATGAGAAGTTAACAATTTAATGCACACACCGGCAAATTTAAAGGAACCTGTTATTAATGCAATATTTCTTTATATTTGTATTTTATAGACTATATCTACATAGCTTTGAAAGCTCCTTGTCACAAGAAAGTCTTAAATGTCAAAATGTCAAATTAATTTGTTTATTTGTATTGTGTTTTACATTTTACAGTCATTCTGTCTGTTCATAACAAGTACAAACTTGTATTTAATTGAGCGCACAATAAGAAAGAGACTTAAAGAAGCCAGTCTCAAGTCACATGTGCCAATAAAAGCTCCCAGACTCCAGAGACACCATCGTTTAGCACGACTACAATTTGGTCGAGTACATCAAAATTGGAATGATAACCACTGGAGTCAAATTCTCTTTACGGACGAGAGCCGTTTCTGTGTAAATTACATCGACGGTAGAGAAAGATTGTATTAACGCCAAGGAGAACGAAATGCCCTTTCAATTTTACTACGACCGTACCTTTTGGTGGAGGTTCAATTATGGTGTGGGGCGGTATATGTTTGGGAGCAATAACAGAGTTAGTGGTGATTGATGGTGGAGCATTAACAGCAGATAAGTATATCAGATATTTCCAAGACCATGTGGTACCTTTTTCACCATATATTGGCGAAAATTTTTATTTTATAGTGTAAGAGTGTAAGTGTAAGATATTTCTTATTACAAGTGGGTATAACAACGATGAACTGGCCAGCTTGTTCCCCAGACCTAAACCCGATAGAGAATATGTGGGACATGCTAGGCAGAAAACAGGGTACGGGTTCCTGCTATTCAAAACAGAGAAGAAGTCACAATTGCAAAAGATTGAGGAAAGGGAGAGGCTGCCCAACAATCGATAGCGTTATCAGAAGTATGAGAAGACGAATAACTGCAGTTGTAAGGGCTCGTAGAGGAAACACACGATATTAAAGCTAAAAAAATGCATAAAAAAACAATGTAAGTTCAAACTGTACAATAAAGTTAATGCATTTAAAATCCGTATTTTGTTGAGTCTGACATCGTTGTGTTTTATTTCTTCTTAAACAGGTTTTATATTGTACTACCATTGTAATATAAATTCAAAGTACTTCACCAACATTCGTATTATGATATTATCTAAACAGTATATAGACTAGAGAGAAAATACTCAGATTTTATGGTTGTTCCTTTAAATATGCTGGTGAAACTAAGAAGAAAATGAGCATTATGATTTATTATGAATATTATGAATATTATGAAATTAATAATGAATAACTTTATTCAAATTCCCCAAAACATAAAAAGATTTTTAAACGCTTCTACTTTATCTGTTTATGTAGCTAATTTTTCCTTTTTTTTTTGTAAACTTACCACTAAACGATGACAAGCAAAATAAAAGATGGATGTTAAACAAAAGAAAAGCATTTCCGAAAAAAAGCCCAAAATATAATATGGTATTCCACTTATTTATTATATTACAAAATGAATAATTTTGAACTGGAAACCAAAAACAAAGAAAACCACAGATCTTACTTTAAATCCTTGAAATCCACTTTTACAAGATTTATCCACTTCAAAAGATAATGTTACAAATCTAACAGTCAAAGCATTTGATACCCAGATAACAGCGCTCGTTTGGGATATGCATCCAATCCAGCATCTTCTGTGTATCCTTTTTCGATGTTCCACTGATTATGACTATATTGTGATGTTTTATGAAAATCCAAATTGTATTGCCTAAAATAACATGAACGTCATTTTGTTTTTATATCTTGATAGTACATTTAAAAAATATTATTTTAAATTGTAATGTAATTTACTGATTTAAATTTTCCCAACTCCTTTCCTTTCCTTTCCTTTCCTTTCCTTTCCTTTCTAAATTTACCATAAAAAATACAATAGAACTAGTTAATAAAATACAACATTTTCAATTACCTAACAACTACAGATTAATTTCATTTGACGTAAAAAATCTTTTTCCTAGTATCCCTCCTAAAGAAACTTTTGTTCTAGTAAAAAACCTTTTAGACCAAAATAGTACAAATCCAATAATTACATCTGAAATTTTACATCTTCTTTAAGTTTGCATAAACCAGGACTACTTTGAATTTAATGATCAAATATATACAAATAACAGTGCAGGACTAATGGGCAATCCTCTAAGCCCATTACTATCAGATATTTTTATGGACCATCTAGACACAAAGATTTCAAAACATCCCGTATTCAAACAATTTCTATATTGGTGGAGACACGTAGACGACGTACTGGTATGTTTCACAGGAACTAACACTTTTAGTTTCACTTCATAGTCATATTGAATTTACAATAGAAACAGAACAAAATCAATCCATAAATTTTTTAGATATAAAAATTATCAGACTTTAAAACAAATATGACTTCTCCATATTTCATAAACCTACACATACTGACACGACTATACACAATTCATCATCCCATTCAACACAACATAAACTGGCAGCTTATCATAGTATGTTACATAGATTAACAGAAATTCCGATGTCAAAATACAACTTTGAGACAGAATTAAATATAATTAAGCAAATAGCAGTAAACAACGGATACAACGAACAAACAATTAATAAAATGTTAAATCAAAAACTACACAAGAAAGCCCTGAAAATTAGTATTTCCACCACCAGAGAAAAACCCAGTACCTTCTGCTCGATTACATATACAGGCAAAATAACAACAAAAATAGCCAAACACATAAAAAAGAAAGGAGTAACACCAGCTTTTCGAACAAATAACAACCTAGGCAAATATATCAAAAATATCAAGAGCCAAAATAAAAACACTTAAATAGTGGTGTGTACAAACTTCAGTGTGGCTACTGCCCAAAAACTTACACCGGTCAAACTGATAGAAACTTTAATAAACGAATAGCAGAACTTAAAAGGGCTTTCAATAACAGAAAACAGATTCGACATACGCACTTCACCTTCTAGATCATAATCATTCTTTTAATGACAAATTTAAAATTCTTCACATTTAAAGTAAAGGCCTTAAGCTATCTTTGTTAGAATCTATGGAAATAAACAATTTAAAAAATACAGATATAATTCTGAAGGACCAACTTAAGACAAACAGTTCTCTTCTCCTCAACCTATTTCATTAGAGACTTTAAATTGTAAACGCATGCCAAAAATCAGAGAAAGGCAATCGGACGAAATAGGTGTAGTGATAATAGTAAAAATTAATTTTGTGGAAGTTTGAAAACAAAGTTTTCAGTGTTTTATTGTTACATAAAATGAATTTCCATCAAGAAACGGTCGAATACATCAATTATAGCAAAGATTACCAATAGTCTGTCCGTTGATTTGATTCCATCTTCTATGTCACTTAAGGCTCTATCGAAAATAGTTTCAGAGTAAAGATTAAAAAGGAGGGGTGACAGAACACAACCCTGTCGTACACCTTTTTTGATTGAGAAATATAATGTAGATTCCAGTCCTAATCTCTTACAGATGCCACTTGATTCATATAAAGGTTCTGACGGAAAAAATATTAAAAGTGAAAATAACAGAAGTTTAAGAGTATACATGATACATACCTAATAGTACGGGTTAAATACTTACACTATGTCCTTATAAATTTCCGATCTATCGAGAATATTAAACGAGTAGCATATGCCTTCATCCGTAACAATTGGGACAAATATATCTTTACATTCATATTTTCTACCCATATAATTACAAGAAAATAACGGATATTGACTATTGAACTAAAATAAATAAAAATATTTAATAGCTAATGAAAAATTTATTATATAATATAATACAATATATTGTGTAATTGTTTAAAGTGTAAATTTTAAGTGTATAAAAAAGTAGAGTTTTACATTTTACTGTAGTACTATTTAGGATCAAGTTTAAATGTACTGCCTGGTATGCCAGACTCATAGACTCTCGACTAAAAACCCCTCCCCTTCTTCTGCCTTTGTTTTCTCTGCGGAATTGCCATAAGGCATTTGTTTACAAGGGTAACTAGCTAATGCTCTTCTTTTAGGTTGTAGAAGTCGTTGCTACTCTCCTTCTAACCGTCTTTATTTTCAGTCCACCTCCTCACCTCTTTTCAATATGACGAAGATCCTGGAAAACTTTCATCGCAAATGTATGTGCTAATTGCATTCCAAGCGTTTTCTTCTTCTTCTAAGGCACTACGGCCCAAATTGAGCCTTTTTAATTTTTGCCTCCACACTTGCTTACCTGTGGCTATTCTTCTCCATATACGGACTGCTAAAATGGCTTGTGCGTCACTGTTTTCTGTGTCTTACCAGTACTTTCTTGGCTTTCTAACTAGTCTCTTTCCTTGGATTCTAGCATTTAGTGCTCTTTTTTTGGGTAGCCTATCCTGTACAATTCTTATCACATGTCCGGTCTATTGCAATCTTTGTATTCTAGTAAAGTCTGAGAGTGGTAAGTTGATAAAGTTCGTTGTTGTATCGACTTCTGAAAATTCTGTATTCCCTCACAAGTCGTAGTATTTACTGCCGTAGCATGCTATTGGTACAATTAAGGTTTTATAGATTCTCACCTCTGTATTTCGGTGGACATTTTTGGACCGAAATATAAGGAATATGCCAAAGTAAGCTTTGTTTGCCTGCATTATTCTCCTCCTTATTTCTCCATCTTTGTCTTCGTCGGCATCTTCATGTATAATGTTTTGTGGGACTATATTTCTTCTCGCCTGTATCATTACTTTTGTTTTTTCTGTGTTAATGTTTTAGGCCAGCTTAGCCTTTTTTTTACGTTTTTAACTCTTAAAGTTACGTTTTGTTTACATTTTTTGTTTACTGCTTTTTAACCGTGACTTTAATAAGTCTAATTAGCTCATGTGGTATTGTCAATTCAGCCAATATATTGTAGAGTTTGTTCCTTTTGACTGAGTCGTATGCTTATTTGAAGTCTACAAACACGTTGTAAACATCAATATCATGTTTCCATAATTTACACAATGTAAATTGTGTAACTGTACATGTAACTGTAAATATTTAATCCAGTGTTGATCTTTTTCGTCAAAAGCCTGTCTGATACTCTCCAATAATATTTTCTGCTAGTGGTTATAGCCGCAGGTTTATAATATAATAATGTGAGGACTTTATATGTTCTACATAGTAGAGAAATTCCACGGTAGTTTTTGCACTGGGGTTTGTCTTCCTTTTTATATATCGGGCATGCTATACTTTTCTTCCAGTCGTTGGGTATTTTCTATTCTAGCCATCTGTCTTTGATGAGCGCGTGAATGTGTCTTGCTAGGTGGTCACCACTTACCTTATAAAATTCTGCTGATGTTTCGTCAATTCTTGGAGCTTTATTGTTTTTCTGGGCCTTAATATCTTCAAAAACTTCCTGTATGTTGGGAGCTTCTACTCCATTTTCTACTTTTTAGGTATTCGTAAGCCCCTTTAAGTTTGTTGTTGTTGAAATTTTCTTCCATTTTTTTTTATTTGTCCATTTTTATAGGCTCTTTTTTAATTCTACATATCTTGTCTGCTTTCCATCTTGCGACTTCAAATGATGTTCGTCTTTTCCGTGTTCTTCTTCTTATATGCAATTTGTGTGCTTTATTTCTTTGCTCTATTGCTTGTCTGCACTCGTCATTGAACCATTGCTCCTCTTCTCGCCTTTTTCTTGTTTCGTAAGGTAGACGCTGCCGTTGTCAGTACTGCTTTTTTGATATTATTCCATTTGCCCTCTATGGAGTGCAGTTCTAGCGTTTTTCCAGATAAAGTTTATTTGTTCTTTGTTGTTTTTCGTTTTTTCCTTGTTAACTCTGCGTCTAAATTTGGTTTGGAGTAAAAGATGGTCTGGTCTACATCATGGTCCTCGTAGTTTTCTTACATCTGAAATACTACTGGCTGCCCTTTTGTCTATTAACACATGGTCAATTTGATTGGTTGTGGTTTCCTTTGATAGAATCCAAGTCATTTCATGTATTTCTTTATGTAGGAAGCATGTGGAACTAAAAAGTGATAAAGCTGCACTTACTACTAACGCTTTAGCACTGACATGCTCCAATTGCTACTTGAAACTGAGTTGGCATCAATAATCACCCATAAGTACCAAAGGAATAGTTGTGATGTGATTTAATGCTCTCCAATGCTCAGCATTATGGTTTTCATCTGTTTCCTATTAGTAATAAGCACAGTTTTAGTTTTGTGCTTAGCTAAATTTAATTAGACTATGTTCATCCACTAAAAGATTCTCATAAAGATGATTCGAAAGTGATTTATTTCTTCAAGGTTCTTTAAAACAATCACCACAGCCACGTAATCGGCATGTTAGTAACTCATCAAAAAGTTTGCATAAAGTAAAACCGGTTGTAAGCTAAAGCATTTTTATGAGCAATATAAGTAATATTTGTTTTATAATACTTTTTTGTACCCTTCTTCACTCCCGGCGACCGCCTTCTAAGATGTATTAATGACATGGCCAATCGCATCTAGTGCTGAATGTTCTATTCGAAAACCACACTGAGCACTTGCTGTTAAGCAGCGGTTTAACTACTGCTTAGATTCTTTGTTGGACTATTCGTTAAAACATTAAACTTGTGATTTCTTCCCTTTTTGGAGAAACGCTAATTATTTTTGCTTCCATATGTGCGGAAAAGTACCCTCCTTGAGGCACGTGTTTTAAAACTTAAAACATTGCAAATGATTCTTTGGTGCCTTCTTTTAAACTGATGTTAGGGATTTTATCTAGGTTCGGAGTTTTATTATTTCCTACTCTATTACTTCTTCTACCTCGCACACCTCGATTGAATGATAAAAGTGTTGCTGACGAAGCAGTGCATTAACGATTCTTTCCAGCAACTAAGAGCATGTGATTGTCGATATTAAAGTCGTTGGTTAAGGCACGACCACCTTATATGACCTGGCCCACGAATCATTCTCCACCTCATAGCTGTTTTTGATTGCGTTATTTAGTCTCCTGCGTGCGGTTTTGTACTCAGTCACCAGATCGACGGAGTTGTGGTATCAACAACAACGCTGAGATGCTCTTTTCGATCTGAGGCACTTTTTACGTAGAGCGTTGATGTGGCTATTCTACCAGTGTGCCAATAAACGTTGGGTTTTGCTGAGTTTTTATCACTTTCATCAGCTCCTCGGTCTTATTTTTAGCGTTTTTAGCGACAATTGTATAATAGAATCACACATACATACACTTACACACACACACACACACACACACACACGACGATTTGTGAATTCGTAATCGAAGCTTGACGTCTAAATCTGTTAATATTATGTGATGTAGCTAATGACAAGAGCCTAATTTGACATTAAAAAAGGTATTTAAATGCTATATGCGACAGCGTCAACTTCCACTTCCACCGATGCGTGCTGGAGATGGAAGACCGGCAATGGTATAAAACAACGTACACCGCAAGAGAGAAGCAAGTTCCGCCAGAGTACTAATCTGGTGGGAACTCCACTCAGTCTTTCAGTATTGACCAAAGGCCAATTGTCCTGGGAATTTTATCAGAGTATTGATTTGGGAACAGCTCTATTGGTCCTAGGATATTGACTAAAGACCAATTGCTTCTTCTAGAGTATTGGGCTAGTAGGAGCTGCCAAACCCAGTCTTAGCATATTGCTCTTATACCTAACCGTACTGTGACTCGGTATTCATAAGTAATTTCCCGTTCTTTGCTGGATTCAGTATTGATCGATCCGTCCACCTCTAACACAGATTATTCCTTCTCCTCGGTTGTGGGTTTATGTTGACTAATGCATTGTATTCAAGTTTCAATTTTTCAACATTAACCTTATTTATTTTTACAAGCATTAATAGTAGGTCGTAGCGTTGTCGATACCTTCGTCAGGATTGATATTTTATTTTTATTGTACAGAAGAAGCTTATTTTATTCATTCAGAATATATTTTTATTTAAATTAAACTTGAGTTTTACTGAGTATGGTGTCTAACAGAGCTATCTGTTACAATTTGCTTTTGAAAAATTAATATTTGACAAATTTATCAAAGTGTTTCTCTACTTTTGTCCGATGTGTTTGTTGTCTTTATATCTACGTCAGTAAAAATAATATGCAATATACTTACTGAACTCAAAGCAGAATAAATATTTTCGTCAATATAATCCGAATCTGGAAGTTGGATGAAGCCACTGTCGTCACATACCAAGCTCATATACTTTAAAAGGGTCTTCCTAAAATAATTAAGTAAAATAGGGTTAATAATTTTTTACCGAAAACTTGCGTTATACTAATAAACATGGTTGACCATTTAAAAGAGTCCACCCTGAGAATTGACAATATTCATTGGCTTTTGTGAAAGTGCTAATAGCGATTGATTTTTATTCTAAAGGGGTCATCTTTAAACTACACTAAGTAGCAAAATTGATGCACCATCTTAGCAATGGGTCATTTTTGATGTCTCTAATTTCCTAAACCTGTTGTCCAATTTAATTAATTTTCAGCCACCGATAAGATGTTGCATGGTTTCTTGGGCTCGGCATTAATATCAGCATTTATCATTTTGGACTTGGATCTTTAACAATATATTTCAGGTAATTTTACCCTCAGTCTCGGAAAACATCTTTCTTGATGTCAACCAATAGTTCGACGCTGTATTGTCGATATTTTCTTGATCTTATTGAGGTCTCGCCCAAGCGACACGATTGGTAAACCAGAGGTTAAAATTTTTTGCAACACTATAAGTCAGAAAATAACGAAGTTACAGAAATTTTACGCATAGCCTATGAAAGAAGAATAATTAGTCTATCAAAATTATTAAAAAAAAAGAAAACTTATTTTTAACCCCCTCTGTGGCTCAGTGGTAAGAGCGCCTACCTTTAAACCTAAAGGTCGTGAGTTCGAATCTCATCTGGGTGGAGAAATTTTCATTTATTAAAAATTAACGAATGAAAATAATTTCTATCCTTGTGCGCTCGGTACTCACCAGAGGGACCGCAGACGTTCGGATACAATTAGCGTCTCTTAGCAAAGACAATGACGTCGACTTTGCTAAGTATCAAGACAATTACTCTACACACACACACACACACACACACACACACACACACACACACACACACACACACACACTACACTAGGTACCTGACTGTGCCATGCCAATGATCATAGTTGTCGAGGCATTAACCCAATAAAAAAAATATTGCAATATCATTTTGCAAAAACATATCAATTTTTTGCTTATCAACAATTACAATAACTTTTTAACTACTGCCTGCAGTAAAATTATTTTTATATTATTGGAAAGCTTGCATTTTTCTACAAATTTAAAAAAGAAAAAGTTTTCCCAGGACAGTTTGGTCTTCTATATATACTTACTCCTTTGCCGTAAGGGATTTATTGTTTGCAAATTTCTGAACCATTTCTATATGTCGATATTCGTTGGGATTAGATTTTGATTCTGGGCAGATGGTTACCGCTGGGAATGGTATGGAATAAATAGGAGTTTCTTGAGTGGCGAATGTTACTATTACTGGACTTCTAATCCATTTATCGTAAACTTGTGAGATAGCGTAAATGCACGATGACAGTGTTAGGGTAAAAACAATAAACCACCATGTCCTAGAAACAAAAAATGTAATTATAAAAGACTCCAACACCTACACATAAACCTACCTAAAAACTTGTGTGTCTGTTGTGTTTGTTCTTATTGCTGTTTACAAAAAGTTGTCTGATTATTGAAAGAAAAACGTTCATATTTTAATATTATTATGAACAACGATCAACCAACCACCAGTGCTGAAAACGCTAAGGATGAAGAGCCTGGTACTAAAAGATGTAAGGGAAATAGCGAATAGAATGAATATCAGCGTAATGTTATCAGAAACTTTACAGTTTAAGGGCAAACATAATATATAAGTTACAAAAATAAGGCCATGGAAGCAGAGCAAATAGGACCTCAGCGCAAGTAAGACAATAAAAATATAATATTTTTGAGTTTGTAAAATACATGCTTTAGGCATTTACTCAAATGTTTTGTAAAAGTAAACGAAGATTAAGGGAACAATATTTTTGATAACTTTTACAATATGACAATAAAAAACGAACAGAATATATATCTACAAGGATAAATAGAAGAATGGAGGGGGTAAAGAGAGGACAAGAAGTTACAAGCTCTTTGTTAATGTTGATCAGACTAAAAAAAAGATATGCGAAGGTAGTTTTTTAAGTATTTACGTCATTGGAAGAGAAACACTAAAAAGAATTAAAAAACTTGTGGTACGTGGTGTGATACTTACAGATAAAAGGGGGAAAATATAAAATGGAACATTATTGATGCTAGAACAAGGGAACTTATCCGTAGCCACATAACTACATTTCAAGTCAAAGAGTCTCATTACTCTGTGGAGGGTGGCGGTTTACAACATCCCTTCCATGGAGAGGCTTGTATGTAACAGTGTCTCTTTCAGCGGCTTTGTTCTTGCTGTAAGCCCAATTAGTCCGCTAGCCTTCGACAGCTCAGTAGAGAAACTAAAATGGACTTTCAAAGTTGCTTTTATCTGGCCTGTTGAATTGATATAGTAAAATAAAACAATTACATGTTTAGAAAGAAACTGTAATTGAAAAAAGAAAGGGCAAGAAGTAGAACTTATAAAATTTGAGTGTGTAACTTATCGTAGGAACTTAATTTGAATATTACAATTTGCGAACGAAAGCGAAAACACCATAACACTTATTCACATATTACGGCTTCCCGGCCAACTGCGTAAACTGCAACGTGGAGAATCCTCTCCGAACTTTGAAATGTAGATGTTAGCCCTACGAAAGTCGCTAAATCACTAGCCCGCTGGAATATTTTTTTTGTTTATGCATTTTGAAAAGCCGGTCTGTCGTCAAGTAGGCGCTGTGGGCGGGGATTAACATTCTCAGTAACAAGGTCTAGGTAGACTGGATTTATTTAGGTAACCGACGCGAAAATAGAATTATTTGATACAAAATAGAATTATTGGTTTGGAGATATAGTTCTCCAACACTCTGGTAAGGAATTTAGGTACTTAGATGCGAAACATAATACAAAATAATGTCCCAATTATTTATTAAAAAGTATCCTAAGAGTACAGCAAAATACAGTAACTACAATAAATTTTTTCATTTTGGTAGGCCACAAATTGACACATGCAATGTCTGTAAGGAGCTTAATTTAAAAATTAAAAGCCCTAGTCTTGATGAAGCGGCAAAACAAGTAGCGGTTGCCAAAAAAGTAGTACACTACCGACGAAGTAAAAAATTTTACATTGCACTAAATAATCAAGTTTACGAATGCATTCAAGAGATGATGTAGAAGAAATCGCCTTTGATTTTATGCAGAACCTTCAACTTCCTGCAATTCCTGTACAAGACCTATTTTATCTGTCGCAGCATATCGTTAATGTTCACGAAAATCCGTTCTTTATATTTACCACGAAGTACAAGCACGAAAAAGCCCGAGGTCAAGGTTGAGGTCACTCAAAGTGGGAACCGTGTCATTCCTGTAACCGTGTTTTTGGGGTTATTAAAAGAAACCTGCTCGATCCTTCATAGACATGGTATAATAATCAAAAAAATGTAATCTAATGTAAATTTTATGAAATAACTCTTTAAGGCCATTTGTTCGAAAGCTAATCAAAACTTGATGGTAATCAAATTTTTAATTAAAATCAACTACGTCACATTTTGAGGTTATGTTATGTATGTGCCTAAAACCTATTCAGGGTCTGTGAAATTAAAAGGAAAAGTAATATAGCTTTTAAAGACCAAGGCATTATCAGTCTGCATGTTTATTGATTGAGACATAGAAGTTAACAAGGAACCAACGAATTTTGTTCTCAATTTCCAAATTGCGTCATTTTGTCTATAGCGTTGATGCTCCCGACAGTATTCGAGCTCGTGAATACATTAATAGTGCGATATGGAGTAACTTCAATGTTTTCATTTCAAAATCAAACAATGTCAGAGTTAAAATGCCAACTCAAAAGGTGTATAAAGGCCCAATTCCAACACTAGGGGCAAAAAAAGAAAATTTGGTGGAGGAACCATTTAAACCAATTTACGAAATATTATTGAAGCATCAGCAAGTGAGAAAAAATCCAAGGAAGTCATAACATAAACTGTATGATATTAAAATTGTTTAGTAATAAATACTTTTGTTATGAAATCAGACATTTCATTACTGAAACAATCTAAATCCATTTTAAAAAATTTATTTAAAGAGTTTAGTGACATATTGTTCTGAAGCTATTTTCTTGTGGCATTTTAAATTAATTACTATTTAACTGGGAATAAACCACAATTAAAGATAAAAATACGTTTATTGACGTTTCAATTTCCACTTCGGAAATCGTTCTCAAAATACAAACAGTAAATTAAACAAATTTTGTTTTTTGTTACATAGTGAAAAATTCTTCTAATAATTTATTTTTATCTGACTCATTTATATTGACAATTCAGACATACATTATGCATTTTAACGTAGACGACTTTAAAATGATATTGCCAATTTTGTTGAGTTGCGCTCCTGGGACGACTTTACTTATAAGATAGTTCATTCGATTACATGAAATCAACTTTAACTAGAGAATATCCGTCAGAAAAAAATCATAGCATGTAATTCGTCTTTAAAAAGACAAACACATGACATGATGACAGTAAAATTCTCCTGTTAGTGATTCCATAGTAACTTATAAGGAAAAAACCAGGAAAAAAACCTCATAATACTATCCCGATATGGTAAGTATTTGTTCGTACATTTAGTTTACCTTCAATAAACACCAAAATTCTAATTTTATATGTTTCGTTATTTAAAAAACATAAATGATGTATCCTCTATATGTTACTGACTTACTAATACTGGTATTTTCTTATTAATGACTTCCTCTTTCAATATTGGTAACCAGATCCTACTACATTCTGCCGAGGAATTTGCGACACAATTTGCCTCATTTAGCATAATTAGAGCCGCTTCTTGGATTTTTCTTTTTTTACCATCCGTTTCTTTTAGGACTACATTTGAATTATTCCATTGAACCCTATGTTCATTATCCCATGCGTGTTTACATATTTGAGATCTATCAAATTCTTTATTTTTAATATGAGATTGATGTTCACTTATTCTAACATTTATTGGTCTTGATGTTTCACCTAAATAAAACTGATCGCATTCACAAGGTATTTTATAAATGCAATTCTTTGTCCTTTCTTGTTCATTGTATGGTTTGGTTTTGGACAAAATAGATCTCAACGTGTTTGCTGTTTTGAATGTTGTTGAAATGTTGAATTTATTTCCTATCCTTTTAAGTTTTTCTGATAATCCTTTTATGTACGGTATTGTTATTTTCCTCGTAATATTCCTCGTGTAGATCATAAGATCTACACGAAGCCTACAGCATACACAAGGAATAATACGAGGAAAATAACAATACCGTACATAAAACGATTATCAGAAAAACTTAATAGGATAGGAAATAAATTCAATATTTTAACAACATTCAAAACAACAAACACGTTGAGATCTATTTTGTCCAAAACCAAACCTAACAATGAAACAAAGAAGGACAAAGAATTGCATTTACAAAATACCTTGTGAATGCGATCAGTTTTATTTAGGTGAAACATCAAGACCATTAAATGATAGAATAAGTGAACATCAATCTTATATTAAAACAGAGAATTTGATAGATCTCAAATATGTAAACAATCATGGGATAATAAACATAGCGTTCAATGGAATAATTCAAATGTAGTCCTAAAAGAAACGGATGGTAAACAAAGAAAAATCAAAGAAGCGGCTCTAATTATGCTAAATGAGACAAATTGTGTCGCAAATTCCTCGGCAGAATGTAGTAGGATCTGGTTACCAATATTGAAAGAGGAAGTCATTAATAAGAAAATACCAGTATTAGTAAGTCAGTAACATATAGAGGATACATAATTTATGTTTTTTAAATAACGAAACATTGTTGTTTATTGAAGGTAAACTAAATGTTCGAACAAATACTTACCATATCGGGATAGTATTATGAGGTTTTTTTCCTGGTTTTTCCCTCATAAGTTACTATGGAATCACTAACAGGAGAATTTGACTGTCATCATGTCATGTGTTTGTCTTTTTAAAGGCAAATTACATGCTATGATTTTTTTCTGATGGATATTCTCAAGTTAAAGTTGATTTCATGTAATCGAATGAACTATCTTATAAGTAAAGTCGTCCCAGGAGAGCAACTTAACAATATTGGCAATATCATTTTAAAGTCGTCTACTTTAAAATGCATAATGTATGTCTGAATTGTCAATATAAATGAGTCAGATAAAATTAAATTATTAGAAGAATTTTTCACTATGTAACAAAAAACAAAATTTGTTTAATTTACTGTTTGTATTTTGAAAACGATTTCCGAAGTGGAAATTGAAACGTCAATAAATGTATTTTTATCTTTAATTGTGGCTTATTCCCAGTTAAATAGTAATTGAGTTTAGTAACGATTTAGATGCTTTTGATTTTGATAAATTCTTGCATTAGGTATAATCTATTAACTTCAAACTTCACTTTTAGTGAAAATGTTAAGGTAAACTCTCAAAACGTTTTTATCGTCTCTTGTAAACTGTTCGAATGAGTCTTAGCTTGTTTCTGAGATAAGCAATCTACTAGGAAGTTTTTTCCATCGACAGCAACATCAAACAAATTTATTAATCAAGACTAAAATTAAAGATTTAAAATTATGAGTTAATTTTGGTGCACAGTGTATTTTTATACTCAGTTAAAAGTGGCGTAGTGTTTAATAAATAAATAGAATTCTTACCTTTCAAAGTATGATCTATTTTCCCCAAAATACTGAAAGCCATGAATACTTGTACTTCTACAGTATTCCTTAAAATAGTTTCTCACACTTTTAAAAAGTGGTTTTTCCTGTTTTCCTGTCATAGTTAAGAGGTTAAGTGTTATTATAATGTAGGAATTCGTTGGTACAAACCCGTATTTCGACGTGCCCTTCCATTTTAATTTAAATTATCTGATTACAACTGTCTCAACGGGAATGTTACTACCGTATGATATAGCATGCAATATGTATATCTTTTATTGATCCTTGACATTTTATTTAATTTATTTTAAAAGGGTTAAAATGACAAGATTCATAATACTTTGCACTATTAAAGTGAGTTGAATGACTCTCGCTTTTATAAAATTTTTAAATAGAAGTTTTTACTCATGTAAATAATTTAATATTAGTTAAGTACCTTCAAAACCATTTACAAATTATCATTTCAGTTTATCCACAAAGTAAAAAGTGACACTGATAAAAATGTAACAAAAAATTCTGGCCATACTATAATAGCCATACTATAATTATCACCAAATAAATTGTGAATATACAGTCCTCTTTTTCTTCTTCCTCTTTATAACCAATTCTGCTTGTTCATTGGCGGATTTATATCTCTACGAAAGGTTGTCAAAAAACAGTACTATCAAAGTATATGCAAAGAAATTGAGAGACATGGTCTGAATAATCAGCCGAGAGATCTATTTAGAAAAATACGCTACCTGACAAGAGACTTCAGAGCCAGAACTTGGGCCATTGAGGATAACACTGGAACCCTAAGAACAAACAGAGAAGACATAGCAGAGACATGGAGATCGTATTGCAGGGACCTATATAAAGATGATCAACGCCAAGAGCTTGTTAGCCAAATCTCTGAAGAGGTGGAAGAAGAACCTGATATACTCGAAAATGAAGTAAGACAGGCTATCAACAAGCTCAAATATAACAAAGCATCAGGTCCAGATATGATAACAGCAGAAATGCTTAAAGCCACAGAAGAAACCGGCGTAAAGTTACTTCATCTACTCTGCAACCAAATATGGCATTCCAAACAATGGCCTGAAGACTGGACAAAATCTACAATAACGACCATACATAAAAAAGGCAGCTTCCATAAATGCGACAAATATAGAACTATCTCTCTTATATCCCATGCCAGCGAGATAATGCTACATATAATCAATGAGAGACTGAAAACATTCCTTTAAAGAGAAATTCCACAAGAGCAAACTGGATTTACCAAAGGTAGAGGCACTCGAGAACACCTGCTGAATATAAGACAGATAATCGAGAAATCTAGGGAATTCATCATCCCACTATATATCTGTTTTATAGATTACCGTAAAGCGTTCGACAGGGTCAAGTGGAGACACTTATGGCGAATACTAAAAGAAGTAGGCGTACCACAACATCTAATTACGCTTATAACCGAACTATATGAACACACTACTGGATCAGTTAAAGTACTTGACACACTTTCGAACGAATTTCATCCAGAACGGGGTGTCAGACAAGAATGTATACTATCTCCACAATTATTCAACATATATGGGGAGTATATTATGCGAAGAGCACTTGAAGGATGGGAAAAGGGCATCTCAATAAATGGTCATAAACTAAACAACCTACGTTTCGCAGATGACACAGCCCTTCTTGCAAATAGTCAAGCAGAGCTGATAGAACTTATACGACTGATCGAAAACGAAAGTCAAATATTTGGTCTGCAATTAAACAAATCAAAGACAAAGATCATGATAGTGGATAGACTACACAACAATCATCCACACATAACCACAATTGACCGGTTCGAGGTTGTGAGCTCATACTTATATCTGGGATCATTAATCACAAACACAGGGTCATTACAAGAAGAGATTAAACGTAGATCTTATCTAGCAAAAGTTGCCACAGCAAAAATGACCAAAATATGGAAGGACTGTCAAATTTCAAGAGCGATAAAGATGAGGTTGATCAACTGCTTAATATTCCCAATACTGACCTACGGATGTGAATTTTGGACTCTGAGACAATCGGAGAGAAGAAAGATAGACGCCACTGAAATGTTCTGTTGGAGATGAATGTTACGAATTCCTTGGACCGACCGCAGAACAAATAATTCCATTTTAAGAGAGCTAAAAGTTAGCCAACGACTCTCTAGTAAAGGCTATCTCCAACAATTAAAATATTTTGGGCATGTTATGAGAGCAAACACAGAAAACATGGAAAGACTCATAATACAAGGAAAGATAGAAGGCCGAAGATCACGAGGAAGATCCCCAACAAGATGGATAGATCAAATTACAGGAATATGCCAAGGACCTATGCATGAATTAAAAGAAATGACCAGAGACAGAGATCTCTGGAGACGGACAATACACGACATCACGTCGACCACTACACTCCCCCTGGGGGGTCAGGATTAAAGAGAGAGAGGAAGGTTGTCACTCCATCTTCTTCTTCTGCCTATTGGTGACTTATTTTTTTGCTATTTTGACGACATTGTCTCCTTAATTCTGCTGTGTTTATTCTATTCTTTTTTTCTATTTTGTGTCCATTCATTTATACACTGTACGTTACATTTTATTCTAATGTCTTCACTTCTCCTTTGATCTCTTAAAGTATTTCCTGTAATTCTTCTCAGAATTCTTATCTCTGCTGTTTCCACTAGCCTCGTATTCTGGCTGTGTCGGGTTCAAGGCCTATGTCTATTTCTATAGATTCTGTAAGTTTTCATCCTGACTTCCATTTTGTTGTTTTGGTAGATGTTTTCGATAGTTTTTATAATATTTAGGGGAACTTTTCTATTATACAGAAGATACATCTTTGAGTCTTCTCTGTCAAACGATTTTTTTAGGTCTATCAGATACAGAAATGCTGGTCTATTATACTCTAGTGCAGGGGTGCTCAAACTTGAACTGCTGGCGATCTACCTCAATATTTTTAGACTACTTACGATCGACTCTGAGAGACTGCAGGTGTGTGTGATGCAGGGTTGTCGTACATACACGGTACACCCTACCTACCTAAGTAGGGCGTACCGTAGCATATATAGATATTAGCTTTCTGCTCAATATGGGTACATTATTTTAGCCAAGGTTTGGGTTAGGTTTAGTTAGGTTCTTCTTTACAATATCAATGAAAAAACTCATAGTTATTCAAAATTGCGAGTTTATTTGTTGTTACAAAACAAAAGAGTTACATATGGTGTTAAACTTAACTAAGGAGTGGCTTTGGATGTTGAAGCGTGGCACTGCATGTCCTTAGCATACTTTTCATAAGATCGTACGTAACCACTGAGTGCTAATCGCAAGCATGATGTCATATGATCGTCAGTTAGTCGATTGCGATATTTTGACTAATTATTTTCATTTCAGAAAATGCAGACTCGCACAAGTAAGTTGACCCAAAAAATGCCGTCAGTTGAAGGGCGATTTGCCTTACATTCGGATATTTATCTTCAGATATAAAACGCCAGAAATTTGTATCAGATACTGTAGCTTTGAGATGTATATCTGATATAATCTGCACCAACTCATTTTCAACAGAACATGAGTTCATATTAAACTGGCTTGCTATTTCAGTAGCTAATTCCTCAATATTTTTACATGAAAAAGGATAACTCATAAATGATGCTATATTTTCCAATTTACTGCAATCATAAAAACGCATTTCGAATTGTCCCAAAATATTTGATAATTCAGCCTCATACGTATCATAATTCAACTGAGGAATCCTTGCTTTCAAAGACGGAAAATGTTTCAGATCCTTTCTTTTTCAGTTGATCTATCATAAGTTGCAATTTACTTTTGAATGCGTTTACTGTGCTAATCATCTAAATAATAGTTTTTCCTTTACTTTGAAGCTCCAAGTTAACGGTGTTTAAGTGCATTGTGATGTCAGTCAAAAATGCCAAATAATTTAGCCATTTTTCGTTTTTCAAAATCTGAGTGTCATCACCTCTTTCGTCTAGAAAAGCTGTTATTTCGAGAAATAATTCTTGAAACCTTTCTAGGAATTTTCCGCGACTCAACCACCTGACGTCCGTGTGAAGAACTAAATCAGTGTGTTCAGCTGACTCCCTATCTTTCAACTGCAACTGAAAGAGCCGCCGTTGCAAGTTACGTGCACGGATGGAATTCACAATTTTTGTCGAAATGCCCATAATTTCCTCCGTGTTTAAAATTTTGAACACAAAACTTGTTGATGTATAATGCAATGGAATTAAAAAAATGAAGGGAATTCTTTATTAGCTTGACACAATGCCACAAAACCGTTTTTGTTTCCAATCATTGCTGGTGCTCCATCGGTTGTAATGCACATTAATTTATATATTGGTAGCTCGTAGTTTTTTACAAAATTTAAGAAAAAATATATCTTCGTCACGGGTCTTCCCCTTCAGAGGAATGATTGTCAAAAATTCTTCCTTAGCCAACATGTCATTGAATTCCATCCGAATAAAAATACACAGCTGGGCAGTGTCTGTCATATCGATGGATTCGTCGAACTGTAAAGAAAAGTATGTACATTCCATGATATCATGTTTTAGTTTATCTGCGATGTCTTGACTCATGACTTTAATACGCCTTGTGACAGTCGGGCGAGATAACTGAAGTTCTCTAATAGCAGACATGATTTCTGTTTTATTTTTAAAATCTCCAAATAAAGTCTCACCCGCTTCAATAAATGCTTTCTTCACCAGCGATCCATCTTCAAATGGTTTCTTGTGTTTCGCCAAAATATGAGATATTTTAAATGACGCGATCGTAGCAGCTTTTGATTGTTTGGCTGGTCTTGTGAACATGGATTGTTCTTTTTTCAAACAAGATATCAAATCACTTACTTTTCATTTTCTTAATTCACTCTGTGGCGGAAAATCCTTTTCATAGTTTTTATGAACCGTTTTATTATGCCTCTCTAAGTTACCACACTTAGGTATTGCAACTGACGCACGACAAATAACACAAATGCACTTATCCTTCACCATAGATAAGAAACATTCTTCCTCCCAATCCTTATTAAAATGATACGTTTTAGATTTCTTCACTGCACTCATTTTCCACTATTTAATAATAAACTTTGTATCGACGTAGGATCGCTATCAAGTTACAATTTAGAATAACTCCAATTCCTGCAGGCGCAACATTTATATCGGCGTGAACGAAAGTCTCGAATATTACCGTCAAACGCGCCGCCCGAAACTAGACTGTACTGTCTCTCGTCTAGAAACAACACGGCTTTTCTTTGACAAGTGCTGCGCGTTCCTTTCCGTAGTTGATAGAATATCATCCCAAATTTGATTAATAATTATATTAAATATAATCAACATAATTGTGACAAAAGAAGGATACCATCAAATTTTTAAGAAACATTGGTACGATTACAACAACAAACATCGTTGTGAAAGGAGAGGCTGTCTTACAACCTTGACACTGGTGCAGATAGGAAAATTTGTAAGACCAACTTCATTATTGGACAGATCAACCAAAAAGAAATTCGTATG